TGTTTTTTTCATATTTATTAAAGTTCTTATTGAAAAAAGTCAATTCGCATACGTTTACGAAACGGTACAAATTAATTCAAGGCACGAGAAGTATGATCTTAGCACGCCTCTGGTAACGCGCATCAGTTATCGACTGAATGCCGACATTTTCCCTCGCAGCGATTTCTCTCGTTTTGCGTTTCACTAAGCGCGGTAAATCTCCCACGAGTTAAGGAATATTAAATGATAATTAATCGTTCATTAAGGTCGTATATGAAAAACGCTAAATCAGTTAATTGCCGCGTATGCGGGGACTTGCGTATTGGGAAAGTCGTTGCCGACCAGAGGTTATGTAAAGTTCAGAAACTTTCTCGTACATAATTAATTAAAAAGCAGCTAATATCGTTAAAAAGAATTTGTAAACTTTTTTGCATTAGGTTCTTCTATTCACAATAACTTTTCGTTCAAAATTTTTTTCGATTACCTCCAAAAATAGCCGAGATACATTCTGTTGTTTATCGGTCTGACATGTTCGCGGTCACAGTTTTTGAGTCGGCGCAATACAATCCTTATGGAAAAAATTGGCCTATCGGGCGGTACTTAAATGCAGATATCTCCGTTAATTCTTGACCATTTTTCGCAAACTTGGTATTGTTTTCTTATTTTCACTTAGATCTATCCACTGGTGCAGTTTTTATTTAAATCGGATGAACTTTAATTTTTTTGTAACATACCTATTTGATAGTTTTTTGGTGATTTCTTGCATTTCTGACAGCAAGCGATATCTCCCATAGATTTTGACTTGTATATTTCTATGCTACCGTATATAGGAATCTCAGACCCAAAATTTACAGAATTCGAGAGAGATCAGCTTTATTTATATATATTTACTGCAAGGCTAATCCCAGAATCCTGGCGATTTCTCAGCTACCATAATCGTATAAGAACATTTGAAACATTTATCAGAGACGGAGGAGGTTGTCGGGATTCTATTACATTTAATTTTATCTACCTGAATCTTGCTGTCTTATTTCAAGCGCAACCCCTATTTTACTCCATGTAAATTATTCACTGATTCAAGCAATTATTTGGCTTTTATCATTTTAAATTGAGTTATAAGCACTGCCCGATTTTGAATCGTGTCCATATTTTTTGTATACTCGTATTATTCCTATTTTATTTTTTGGTGGGTGGGCTCGTTTTTTAACTTTATTTTAAGTTATGCTCGCCTTCCAGGTATCTCTGTATTTGTTGTCTGTTTACTTTTTTGTATTGTTCTGTATTTGTTGTCTGTTTACTTTTTTGTATTGTCCCGTTTTAGTCAGAGAGCCGAAATAAAATGATTGATTGATTCTAGTGATAAACTCTCACTTCATCTTCATAATCATTTTTTTTTTTTCAATCATTTTATTGTTATGCTGATTATGGAGTTGAAATGAAGGGTCTAGTATAGTTTAATACAGGGGTGGCCAACCTATGGCGCATGCGCCAAACGTGGCGCATTGCATGATTAGAGGTGGCGCATTGCATCTTTAACCCTTTTCATGCCAAAATTGTTAATTGCACTTGGCTTCTCCACGCCAAGCCGTTTTTTTGCGATTTACATGGTGACTTTTAATTGTACCTAAAATCTATTCTCCTTACTCCACGCCGCCCACTTACGGCTTGTTGGAATTAGAAACAACAGGCGATTATCGGCGTTAGCTTTTGGACGGACTTTATGACATTCATTCTAGACTTTCTGACTTTTAGCAAAAGTTAGTGAAATTTACTATTTTTTCCCTACTGAAGTAAAAAGTTCCCTACTGAAGTCCAATAACCATTGAACAACCAGTTGAATTGCCCAAGCCTAAAAAATTTATTATAAATCAACCCACAACATGCTGATAATGACCCCTAATTACCACCTTTTTCATCCAAACTTCAAATGACCGTTGTCAACAAAAGCGAAGCGTAAAATCGCTTGCTGTGACGCAAGTACTAATCTCGAAGAAGCCTGGAGTAAAATCACGCGACGCTAGGCCAAAAAGCTTCTTAATCGTACCTTTTTCTCTTCGTTGTTAAAAACAGCTTTATTGCGTAATGCTCATAAGACAGAATGCGTTTTTCTCCTACTTTCAAGAAGGCTGTAGTTTTTACTTGAAGCATGGCGTCACAATGGTTCCCTGTTTCGTAATCAATCGTAATCTGTTCATCGTAAATTGCTCGAATTTTTGCGTTTGCATTTTATTATACTTCCTTGCTTAATTTCTATTCATGTGAAGTTGTAAAAACTACATATATGTGTGTATATATGTGTGTGTATTATAAATTTATATAATTTCAACAAGAAGCGGACATTAGGCGTAGGAATACAAGAGATTTACGTTTACGGCGCATCTGAAACATTTTGTTTAAAACGTGGCGCATGGTATGTGAAAGGTTGGCCACCCCTGGTTTAATACCACAAATACTTCCGGTGGACGTATTATAACGAATTTTGCATATGTTATTCCTAACCCCCACCTGACTATGCCATCCAAAAATTACGTCACTATCACGCCATAGGGCCTGACAAAGTAAAATTACGATCGCCCGAAATGGCATCAGCGCCAACTCGCCAACGCCGACAATCTCTCTCCTATCGTGATCGTTGTGACGAGAAACGAGAGAAATGGTTGCTCGATTTTGGGTGATTGTCTGCGCGCTTTGGACAACCATCCGCATACTTTGGTGGGCCTTATTACGGCACTGTGACGTCGGAATGACGTATTTTTTCAATGGCGTAGTCAGGTGGGGGTTAGGATTGACATATGCAAAAATTGTTGAGCCAGGCCAAGTAGAAGTACATGTGGTACTAAACTATACCAGACCCGAAATACCTATACTTATCTGATTGCTTTTAGTTTAATGCACTACTGACCACTGTTCATAGTTTTCATTAATTTCCGGATATTGATTTAGCCTACTTTTCAACTTAATTCATAGTTAGCTAAGCTTTACTCGCCAAACTCACCCAAGTAGGCCTATTTGTTTGTAGATTTTGTATTTCTGTTCTGAATATTCTAATATTGCAGTAGTCATTGATTGATTTATTCTGATCCAGTCCGGGTTTTATGGCGTTTTCCATGAGAAATACAGAAATTGGGCATGCAATCAGTGACTAGATTCAGAGTTTAAGAACCACACCACTCTCCGACTTTTAGTACCCATCGTCTGTAATATACACTGTTGACAAATTCGAATAGGTCCTATTATAAACTGCCTAATTATTGATAACACGTATCTTTCATCATCTTCCCACAAGCTCACCAAAACCCATGTCAATTAACAACTATACGAGTCTATCCTCCAAACACAAGTTTTTTTGTAACCTGTATCTCGATACTCACAATTGTACATTAACACAGAACTTTCTGATGAACTTGGTCGCTGATTAATTGATCTTTGACCTTTGCAAATGCAATGTCGCAGCCGGTTTTCGAAGCTTGAACCTCTGTCGGCCAAAGCAGTAGTCCAGTCATTTTTACAAATAAGCCTACTCTTTCAGTCTCAGATGTTCAGCGTGTGCGGTCTCTGATTGTAAATGTTAAACTATTTTTTTATATCCAACATCTGAACATAGGCTATGCAAAAAGCTGTAATGAACATTGAAAGTAGGTAAATTCAAACATGTTTACTTGACTAAACCCAAATTCTAGTTTTTTATTACAGATGCACTAATAAAAACTATTTCTGCATCATGCTTCAAATAAAATACTTCCAAACCAGCATATTTTAATTTTGTAAATAGCTGAAAATGAATAAAAAACATGAAAAGTTTCTCTCGATATAGTTCTATCATTTTTTGTTTGATTATTAGACTCATGGTTTTTGATTCTCAATATTTGAATATTCATGATCTTGGTATGGTGGTAATTTCTAAAACAATTTCGCTTTGATCATCCTGATCTTCTTTTGTTTCATATGCTCAGTTATAGTGTCTATAAATTTGTACTTCATAACCATAAACCAATCATAATAAATCATGTCTGATGTACAAAGCGAAAATGTAACTGCCACCATTGCTCCTGAGAAGAAAGTGGATGAACATGTTGAAGAAAAAGTTGAGAAGACGGAGGAACTGACCGCAGATTCTCAAAGTGATGGGGAAGAAGAGGAATTTGCAGAAACTAACTTTGAAGCAGACGATAATTCTGAAGATTTTATTCCTAATGAAGAAGTTGACGAAAATGAGGAAGAAGATTCTTGCTCAAGTGGAGAAGAAGAAGTTGGGGTCGATGTAAAATTAATTGAACTCGGAGGTCAGAAGTTCCTCCAACTAAAATATGAGAATGATGAACAGCGGCGAAAGGAATTACAAGCTAAAATGAAAGCAGAAGATAGTGAAAATGAAGAAGAAGAAGAAGTCAGTAATGAAAAGCAGGAGGACAAAGATTCTGATAAAAAAGAAGGTAAAGATTCTTTCAAATACTACAGAACAGCTACCATATTAGATGAAGATATGGATAAGGAATATAAATCTGACGAAGATGAATATTTCGACCCCATGGAAGGGGGTACCCTCACTGATATTGAGTATTCCAGTGGAGATGAGAGAGACACTGAAAGTGAACCGGAAACTGAAACATTAGAAGGAAAACACAAGAAAACTGGTGAAGCATTGACGTGTATTAAAATGATTGAACAACTTCAAATTCCACCTCGTGACCAGACCTGTTTACCAACAGAATTTGCTAGTGCTCAAGTTTCTGATCAGCCAATGGAATGCTCATAAGTTGTATGTGTACTGAGAATCAAAAAAATTATTAGAACTTGAAAGGTATTATTCCTGACTCTTGGACAACATTGGACACAACTGATTATTTCATATCATTTTGTTGCTAAGGTCAATTCTATATGTTTTGTACTTGAATATTTGGCCACTTTCTTTCTGGTATTTTGATATGCCCAGTTGTTGTTCCATCACTGCTTTATTTCTCTCACTGCCGATTTTCATTCTAAGACTGTGCCTTTTTCACTATCGTAAGTTTTTCATTATTTTCGGTTATTTCAGAACATAGATTTAAATATTAATTGTTATTGGGACACTTCAAAATTCTTCAAACATTTTTTTAAAACATGGATGAAAGGAATGGATCATATATTGGTAGTCGTAGGTAAGCGAATAAATTGTTGCCAATGTTTTTTTCACACCTATATTATTTTTATTACTTCAATAATAAAATTTACTTCAATGTTGGTGATTGTTCAGTTTTTACTTATCGATCTTAAGATCGTTAAGTATGTTGATAGGTATTTGTCTGTCCGTATGTTTGTTTGTCTGTTAGATGAACGCGATATCTCACGAAGGCGAGGTTGAATCTGCTCCAAATTGCATGTGCATTCATCATACCTCGGACCAGAAGCCTATTGATTTTGGATGAATTATGTCGTATAATTAGCGAGTTATTAATTAATTAGTGATGGGACACGCGGTGTCACTATAGAGTCGTGAATCGAAACCGCATTTTCGATTGATAAGTCTTCGGTCTCCGACCGATATTCTCGTTTGTGCATTAAGTGCTCTGTTGGACAGACATGCCAGCAAGATATAATAGCCCTTTTTTGATTCGTCTTCCAAGTAATTTCCTAAAATTGAAAATAAGTTTCTTCCTAAGGTGTTCAATATTCTGTGATAGTCTCGGTATCCTAAATGCATATGCTTATCTCTTATGTTTCAGAACTCGAGGTTTGAACGCAAGTGGATTGATTAATTCACCATCAACAATGAGAGACGCAAGAAGTATGCAAAGAAGATCAAGGATGACACCACAACAATATCAAAGTATTTTCAGAATATAATTTTTTAAAACTTGATTATGAGGTATTCCTCTTCACTCCCCTCTATATCAGATTTTTTGTCATCCTTTGGTAAAAAATTAAGCAGCCCTAGGTGTATTACTGAACCAAAGTAATAAATGCAAATCAGATATAACAAGTATCTTCAGATATACAGTCAACATTAGTTTCTTTCATGATTTGTTGTGGACTGGGTGGCTATCCCATTTTTGGTGGATAAAAGAGGAAAACTTTGGAGTGTGCTCACTTGGCATATAAATGCTTGCTTAATTATAAACTTAATACAAGTTTTAACTTTCAGGTCTTCAACAACTGGATGAGAGTATAGTTCAAGAAAATCCTGCGTTTCTTGAAGCAATTACTCCAATTTCTGGACCTAGCTCAAATAGCCGAGGTATTTCTATGAAATGAATTGAATTGAATAATATTAAATTATTCTTCAGGTCGCTACTTCTATATTGGCATTTTATAATTTGCTAGACTTTGTTATTAAGTTTTGGAAACCATACACATTGTAACTAGCCACAAAATTAGGCCAAATTATAATCTCTAATCTACTTGTTTCTAAGGGTATCATCATGATAAGGGTTGTGTGCACATTTACATAGAATTATCTTAAAAAAATTTATTTATCATCTATCATCAATTTGCAAGCTATTCTATGTGATTCAAGAACATGTTGCACATTAGCACTCTTACATTATGGAGATACTAATCTATTAGCTCAATAAAAGTAGGATAAGTAAGTAATCAGTTTCACAGAAACCCGAAGAATAGAACTTTTGTTGTCTTGAATCTAGTTCAATTAAAAATAAAGTTTGAATGCTTGCAGGAATGACAAAGTATGATTTTACCAGTCAGCAATTTCCTAGAACAATGATGGCCAGACAAGAAGCAGAATATTCCATGGTGAGATTATGTGTATGTAACTTTCTAAAGCATATTTTTGCGTATCTGTTTGTAAATTATACCAAACTTTTCCAACTCATTTTCTTCTAATATTTATTGATTAAACCAAATCCCATCTTGGCTGAGAAGTGCAAACTGAGTGAAATATATATTTTTTTCAATTGCTGTAGTATATCATACTAATTTGTCTAAAGTAAATTCGGCATTTTACAGTTCACAAATTGTGAGTAGTTTGGTCTTCAAAATTTACCAGTAAATATTTTTGTTATGTTGACATATGTATATGCAAGAACCTAATTAACCCAATCGTGTAATTTGGTACTATCATTAATAATAATGTTTGTTGTTATGCTTCTTTCAATTGAAAACTAATATAAATCAGTTAATTTGAAATGTTCCCCTTTGGAATAAATTCTTTCTTTTGTTATTTGGTTAAATTTATTGCATTTTGACACATGGCTAATAGTCTTGTACAAGATTTCTGTTATATTTCATTATCTGTAGTTTCTGTACAGAAAACTTTTGAAGAATATTAATATTCAAGAGTTATTTTTAGCTTGACATTTCTGATGAAAATTTCGAACTTGATGCAACGAGAAATCTTCTTGAACCTAAAACTCCATCTGGCTTCACTCAACATATGACAACATTACAGTGTATTCCTGATGAAGATCCAGGACTGGCAGGTAATGAATAACTCATTGTAACATATCACTGATATGTTATGATCAGGGGCGCAGCCAGGATTTTTCCAACGGTGGGGTTACGGTGAAATTGAAACATTACACCAAAAGTGCTATTCACGACGACGTAATGATGTGTTTAATAAACTAAAATGCTTGGTTGTTCACAGCGAAATTCCACAGTTACATGTAGCCCGCCTCTCTTTGCCTGCTAGTGTTTGGTGAATATTTTGCAAGTCCTATTTCAAACATCGACCATTAATTCGTAGTCAGCGGGTACCAGCATTTAGAAATAAAACAATAAAATCGCGAAAATTAATTTTGGAGAGAACTATAACTCGCAGATGTCAGTAGCGTCATGATGGTTTATATGTACAAAAAACACGCTCGCATGTAGCGCATGTAGATCAAATGCATGAAATGTGAAACTATTACTTGGAATTTATTGTTTATCAAGTTGATTTTTTATTGTCATTCAATGATTATTAACATGCGCCGTGATTAGTGGCGGGTAAAATCGTATTTTTTAATAGAGTTATTCGAATATTTTCAACGAACACCGAATAATAAGTAGGGGGGAGTGGGGTTATTTGAGTAGATTTTGACATTTGAAGCAATGTGAAATCTGAGTGGAATCGATTCTCCCTGATATTATGGTTCCATTGTAACACTCTGACTTTGTACTTTCTTGCATAAAAGTTTAAATCTTATTCAACGTATTCAAGTCGCCCAAAAATACAATTTTTTTTTGGAAGTTGGTATACTCAATTTACCCCATTTTTCGAGGATAATTGAGTATACTGACATCCACCAGTTAAATCAAAGCCAAGATAGCCCTAGAACCAAATCAAATGCATGCATGAGAAACTTGGGTACATATAGTTTATTTAAAAAAAAACTGTTTAAAAAAACTTTGAAACGAAATTATCTGGCACCACATTAAAACTTCGCATGATTAATCACACCTATGGTTGCCAAAAAGTCATTACCACAAATGAGCATTCAGTTCAAATACCAGTTCACCTCTACGACTAGGAATGGGTGGCTGGACTTTGCCAACAACTTCCTTCTTTGAGATACTTTCCATATCCCTATTTTGGGGAAAAGCAAACACACATCCTTTGGGCTCTTTCGTGGGCTGGTATCGTACGAAGTTCATTCTATACACATCAGTGAGGACAATTTCTTCAACTTGACCGAGGAATTTCCTTTCACCATATTGGACGATCAGCCAATCGAGGGTGTTAACTTCTCCATAGTTGACAGTCACTCCTTTTAGTTTATGCTTTTCTTTTGTAGTAAAATCACTAAGTGAGCAACAAGGCTCATCCTCATCTTCTGCCTCATCGTCAACAACTAATGCAGAATCTAATTCTGACTCGGAACTGCTTTCGTGAACTATCATGATCTTTCTTTTTGCTGTTTTTTTCTTTTTTCTGCCAATTATCTCATTTTTAAGCCTATCCATACTTTCGACTGATGTGAGAATTTCTCCAGTTTTTGCCTGCACTCTTTTCCGGGAACGACTGCTGTTTTTCTTAGCGCTACATGTTTCTGGAGAGGACATTGGGGTGATTACATCAACTATAGCCTTTTGAAAATGCTCTAAGCTCACTGGACCTAATGACGAGTTGGAATCTGGGTTTGGCCTGTCAACTGCTCTCTTTTTTACTATTTCCTCATTCACAGGAAACAAACCGCTTCCTCGAAATCCTCCAATTGCCCACTGTGGATTTATTTTTTCAACTAGTTTTGTTAAAAGGCTAGGAAACACAGGTTTGGATACATTCTGGAGCCTTGTTTCTCTGAACCATGTTTTGAGAATTTCCCTCCAATTGCTTTTCATAGGTCCAAAAACGCCTACATCAAGGGGTTGCAAAGCATGAGAAGTATTTGGAGGAATGCAGAGAAGAATGATGCCATTAGATTTGCATATTTCAGCACAATTATATGTGATATGGCTTCCATGCCCATCCATAATAAGCAAGCACGGTTTTTCAAGAGCTTCAATGTGTTTTGAAAAACTTGTAAGCCATGACTCAAAAACATTGCTTTGCATCCATCCACTTAGGGTGACACCATAAATGGCATTTTTTGGACCGCCTGTAGTCCATGTGTCATATAAGTTGATACCTTTGAAGACGACAAATGGAGGAAGAAATTTTCCTGCAGCAGAGCAACAAAACAAAACAGTGTAGGATGTTTTTCCACATGATGCCGACTTCAGATAAGTATTTTTTGATGCTTTCTTGGCATACACCTTCGCAGATCTCGGATCAGTGTTCAGTCCAGTCTCATCTAAGTTGAAAATTCTATGAGGCTGTTGCAACAGCCCATTATTCTCTAATATTGACCTATACATTTCAAAAAACGTAGATATAACGCTGTGAGATAATCCCTCAGCTCGAGCTTTGGTCAACAACTCTGGCTTTTTTCTTGAAATCTCGGGATGACGCTTCTCAAAAGATCGCATCCAATCTTTTCCTGGTTTGTTATCAACAAACCTAGAAATTTCTCCTTTGTAATCCAAGTAAGATTTGACCAACATTTGCAAATCATTTCTATCAATAGGAAAGCCACTTTCAGAAACCAATACTATGATTTGCACAAGAAGCATTTCTTCATCATCACTGAGTGCTTTTGGTTGCCCGATCTTCCTCATTATGTAAAGATGGTTTCTTCTTATGGTTTCATATGGTATTTGGGTAGATTTAGACACCGCATAAATTGATTCGCCTTGTTTCACTCGACGGATGGCAAGTTCCAACTCCGCTTTTGTATATTTCAGAGGGCGTTTCTTCACATATGTCCTTGGCATCTTCTCAATTTTTTTTTTACAAATTGAACACGTTCATATTATTAAGATATAGTAGTCTATACTGAAAAATTCACAGGCTTCAGGCTAAAAAAAAAGTGTTAGGGCCCAGAATAATTACACAGGACCTTATAATCTTGTGTTATAGCAGCAGGAAAGACCATTTATACATATACTCAATTTACACCACAATAATTTTCCACTAGACTCAATTTACCTCCATTTTTTCAACCCTCAATAAAATAAAAATAAAATGAGTTATACTAAAATTATCTACTGGGATAAAAAGAGTCTCTACTAAAGTACTAAAATGCATCACAAAAAGTTTTGAATATACAAACAGAGAAGTGTCACATGAAAGTTTCCAAAACAATTTTTTTGACGAACAGAAAAAATTTCACATACAAATATCTGAAACAAATTTATGATTGATAGGAATGCGAGCTATATGCAATGAAATGGAAGCATAGGATATGAACTATTGTTGCTACAAAGTACAAACCATTCACTCAACATACAAAAAAGTTATCGAGCTTTATATACATTGTACTCAATTAACCCCATATGCTCAAGATACCCCCCCCCCCCCCCCCTATTGTCATTTTAAACATTAATTTGGATGTCGACCACCGAAACAATCGCCGTGACAATAAATATTTTTTTTTTCGGATTTTACTGGAAGATTGAAAAGTCTGTAACAATGCAGCTTTGTCACCGCGATTGTTTCGGCGGCCGACATTCCAATTAATGTTGTTAAGTTATATTAAAGCACTTTTTTATTCCAATATTAATTCTCACGCAACGGCGAATATCGTAGTTTGGTTTTTATATTTCGGACAGAATTGTGAGTTCACATCGGCGAAGATGTTAGAGACAACTATTAGGGAGTGCATTCACAACACAAATCCATTTTTATTCTCATTTTTATCTTCTGTGTGGGATTTGTATCACAGTTTGTAATTCACGGTCCCAATTTTGAGCGAACAATATTATCATTACTGACCCCGGGATGCGATATTTGTGAAGCGGATAGTTGACATTTTTATGCTTTTCATTTTAGATCATGTCCATGTTACTTTCGTATTACATGATAAATAAAAGCTCTGCAAATTGGTAATCTCTTGAATACTCAGTGTTGAGTATTTACGTAACTCAGCTTAGGAATAAAACACTGATACTAAACACATGAGTAAATCGGTAATAATGGCATTTCTACGTGGTCAAAATAATATATATTTCTTCTCAATATCTCGAGAAATTTCCATAAAATACAATAGATCTTATATGTTCTCTATACTTTACCTTGGGTCAAGAACAAGTGAATGTTTTATCAAAAATCTCATATATGTTTTCCAGCCACGTCCAGTCTCTTCACAGACTTCAAACACTGTTTTCAGCGACATGAATCCGCATCAGATGTTTTTGACTTACTTTCCAGTTATGAAGAAGTTTGCTCAGATCATGAGGCATTACTCAGAAAAATTTTGGGAGTTGCTCGACCCGACCCTGCGTGAGTTTGAATTTTTGATGAGTATATTTTTCAATAATGTGTCAGTGATCTTATTTATATTTTCATAAATTTCACAGTCTCAATTCTGTGAATCTGTTGGCGATGGTGAGAGATGAAAAAAGAACATGGAGGTTAATTGCATGTCTATACAAGTATGTATTCTCAAGTGTGCTTTGCTAAAATTTCTATCATTTATCAATAAATATATTTGGAGAATGAGAGTAGTTATGAATCGGTACAATTTCTACAGGTAATGTATGAATACAAAATGTAAATTGCTCGGAAAATCAACTTTTTTACCTGACTTGATCAAGCTCTATAGTTGAATGAATGTATACTCTATCATTGTTTATTCACAGCGATCGTCTGAAAACTGAGGCTATGGAAAGCAGCATGGTTGTGGATGACATGGTAAGATTTGAATACTCTTACTGTCATGTTCAAACGCATTTAGGCTTATTGTGAACAGACTCATTCTTTCTGTTATCCATATTTTCTGGTTGATCCAGTTTTTGAAACTTCTTATTCCAAGAATGACTTTCTGGTACTTGTGAGAATTATGTGATTTTACTGATCTATGTAACATTCATGTAAGAAGCAAAATGTGTGACACTATGTAGTAAAGAAGCAAAATACAAATAGGCTACTGCTACTCCATTATTTTGATCATTTGAACATGCAGTTGCAACATATTTTTCATCATCAAATTTCAATCTCCTATTAATCTAATATATTAAGTACCGTAATATAAAAAGGGTAACGATGAAGCTTGTTTGATATTAATATACCTTTTAAACTAGAAGTGAGCAAGAAAAATTTGTTGAGCAGGTGCACTACGTACAGCTTATCTGAATGACACCAGTGCCTTCTTATTGATATATTTGTGTGTTTCATTTTATATTGACTTCCCAGACGGAGCATACAAGTGAAAAGAAAGTAGTGAACAATCTTTTCAAGGATAATGCTGATATAAGACAAGCACAGGTACTGTAAATCTATCTGGAGAATAAGACAAGGCCAATTTTTAGCACTAAAACGTCTTTTTTAATGTCCAATAGGGCATTAAGTTAAAATGTGTTGCTTCGTTCCTCTGTTTGTCAATTAAGCACCAATGCTCACTATATTTTTATAGATTTTATGTTACTCGTTTTTTCATCAGTCTGTTTGAACTAGATCATGTTTATTTAGGAAGAATCATGGTAAAATGTTGTTATCGTCATTAATATGAATATTGTGTTGTACTCTAATATCTTCTCTGGTTAATTCATAAATGCCCTGTCTCACAATCGTGTTGCTCACTGGTCATATATACTGAAATTTTTTTATAGATCGTTATTGATTGGCTCGAAAGAAATGCAGCAGATGATTTAGATGACGAAGTTGTTGATAAAGTTCAACATTATTCTGAAAATGTTTGCTGGTCAGAGGAAATTTTGTTCTCGCCTTATTTTTAACAATTTTTATGTGATGGTTGTGTCACTTGTGTTAACATAACCGCTGGGATATGTACTACATTGCAATGGCTATGTTTACATGCACACATTTTCTTTAATCTTTTGGTGGAAATATGTTGGTCCAATTTGTTCGGATTTTAGGAGTTTAATAGTAGTTTCAGTAAAGTTGTCATGGCTTCCATGAAAAAAAAATCTTTTTTTCATTCCTTCATTTTAACTTCGACCTCCACCATTCCAAAAACTTTTTTAACTGAGAGTTTTGTGCTGTTAACATGAGTTCCAACAAGCCGTCAGTGGGCAGCAGAGGTGTACTGGTTTGTAGTTGGTAAGTCACCAACTCCTTTCATTTTAATCATCCAAGTGCACAATATCAACTCAGCAAATATGAGTTTTGTTATAGAAATACACCAGCATGAAAAGTGTTCACTTGCTCAATATTATAGTCAGAATGTTTATTGAATAATTTAATACCGTATTTCAAATATCTCAAAATAAACTGTTAAAATACTTCTATTCAACCTATGTATTTCCACTTGCGCAGGGAGAACACACTTCATTTTCTCTCACAGAGAAAATTAAGAGGAGAAAAGGGAACTGGTGACAAACATATGGTTTCTCAGATGGTAAGTTTCAATCATTTCTTGGTGTTTGTTGCATATTTTATCATCCCTAGTCACCAGTTCCTAACAAATTTTTTCCCGCCTTCTCGGAATAAGATTTTGATCGTTTATGAACTATTTTATAGATTGTTTTCTTTGTTCTACTTAAAATTGCTGACCTTTCCGGGACGCTTCAATACTAAAAATATATTAGATACTTGTGTGTAGATTAGACATTCAATATGATCATTTTTTTTTTGCTGAGAATTATGAATCTTGGTTCTTGGTGTCATGGGTTATATCAATGGCGTCATGGTGCAGTTAGGATTTTTTAACAGGGGGTTACACAAGATTAAACACAAAAGTAAAAAATTCAAAACAAGCGGTTGCGACTTCTGTAGCTCCAACAGTGGGTATATCTTCGTGTCATATGGTTAAGCTATGGTGTGAATATCAGGGGGTTACACAAGATTAAACACAAAAGTAAAAAATTCAAAACAAGCGGTTGCGACTTCTGTAGCTCCAACAGTGGGTATGTCTTCGTGTCATATGGTTAAGCTATGGTGTGATTATCCCATATTGTCAAATTTTCTCCTATATAAAATTGTACGGGTTGGATTGGATCCAGCCAAAAGGGACTGACCGTACATGCATAACGTTTAAATCATACCGCTTGATGTCTTGGTTAAATAAACTCTCAATTAAATTTTTCAATAATCAGTTGTGTATTTGTGAATGAATATGAACAATATCTAAATTTTATTCAATTAAAAAAAATGACATCTTTTTATTAGTATTTCAGATCCATTCATTCAAGATTTTATTTCACCTAATGTGTTGTACTGGTACTATTTTTACATCCTTTACTATTTTATATTCAATCTTTAGTGATTGATTACATTACACTCATTTTATTTAGGACCCAGATGCACCTTCCCGACAACGTAAACCTCTGGCTGATCTAGATCAAAGTGATGAAATTCGACTCCTAAAATCAATGTTTTCATTTATAAGAGCTGGAAAAATTGAAAAGGTATTTGTAGAAGTTAGTTTACAATGCATTGCAAAAATTGTGATACATGCACTCTATTTTTCGTTATATGTCGGTCTGTATATCAAGAATACAAACTAAATTGTTCCTTTTGTTATAACCAGTGCTGGGAAGCTGGTTCAGAATCACTGTGGCCCTGGCCTCAGCTCCGGGAGCCACAGTATATCCAAACTTTATTTTCTGCTCCGGCTGTGGCTCCATACCCATTGAGGTTTTTAAGTGTGACCGCTACCATAAAACATCTGTCTAAATGCAGTATAAATTAAAATTTATAGAATTTTATGAGCTGAAAAGGATAGATTTTATAGTATTGGGAAATTATAAATGTTAAAAAATGATTGGATGGTTAAGAGCTGGAGCCACTAATTTCGGGTTGCTCCTGCTCCAGCTCCAGCTCCATCTAACATGGTAAGCTTGGCTCCAACTATACCAAAATATCACAGTTCCATGACTTTGACTCCAGCTATGGATCCTCATCCCTGATTGTAGTAACACTTGCAGATATGCTTGTCATTTTCAAATCATTTAATAGTTGGTGTCATGACTGCATAGCATAATAGGGAGACATTTCTTTTTAAAATTGGATGCATGTTTTCTAATTTGAATAAGCATTCATTAAAAATTTAAAATGACAACCGAGGCAAAGTTTTTACCATTGAATTCATCCATTTAAAAGCAGCTGACATTTGATTTTGGAATAGTTTTAAGCTCTCATTTAACATTATAAAGATTTTGTTCTATATTTTTTTTTTGTAAGCATACGTATCGAATCTCTGTAAATTCCAACTTTGCATTTTCAGGCACAAGATCTCTGCATGTACTGTGGCCAACCTTGGAGAGTGGTTTCGTTGGATGGGTGGCAGCTGTACCATGACTCTAACAGAGAAAATCGTGAGTCATTTTACTAGTTTACTTCTCTATATCACAATACAAGGATTTAATTTTCATTATTTATTATCATCAAAATTATCCAAAACTAATTAAAGTTCATTTTATCAAATATGAATCACAAGATGCAAGCATAGTAGGAAAATGAAAAAATGTATGAAATGTTAAAATTTTTGGCAATTTCTGACTATGTAGAAATGGTATGTATTGAATTTGGGCAAATTTCATTTTATCGAGTGAAATCATCAGGATTCCATAAGATAAAGAACCCACATTTGAGCATCATCATGTTATTCTGGGTATGAAATCAACAGCCACATGGACATGAGCTTATTCAAACAAAATGCAAATTATTTGCTCCACAAAGTAGGGTGAAAGTTAACTAAATACATCTTTCTCTTGATATGTTTACATAGAAAATGTGAATAACCGACTTAGTTTTCTTATCATGAAAAAAAAATATTATAACTGAACCAATGAAGTGAGTAAATATAAATGAACAAACTGAACTATATAAATCAGAAAATAGCAAATAAATCCTATGGCATTTTGACCTTCAGCTGACGAGTGTTGTGGAATATAACACTCAATATTAAATATATTTTCATTATTAAATTTTCAACTCTTTGAAATGCTCATTAATCACGACTGCCTGATGTAAATGTAAGAACATCAGCATTGTTCTTCTTTGTCAAATGATATTAGATGGATTTGGCATCATGTTTAATAATTCTCTCCAGAACTTTTTCCAAGTTTCATTATCATTTGCTGTGTAAGCAGGAACAGGTATACTTGGAACCAATGACAAAAATGTTCTCACGCTGCTGGCAAGGTTTTCATCACTTGATATATCCTGTAAAATGTATTTATATTTGTTTCGAGTTTATGTCATTACCTTGTTGTTCATTAAATTAAATTTGTACTGATATTCTATTATTGAAAACCATGGTGTTTAAGGTTAATCGATAGATTGAGCGGTAGTAATATTACTTTAAATCATCTTTAAATTATGAGTAAATTAATTAATTTATACCTCAAGAAGAAGTGAAATGAGTAGCTGACTTTTTCTTCTATGATGAAGTTCAGCTAATGCAACTTGCACTTCATACTGACACCACGGACTTGACACAAATGTTCTTGATAAAATTAAGATAATACGTTTGGATGTTCCAATGCATTCAACAATGTTGTCAGTGATACCAGCACCAGGCATAAAGTCTCTTTCATTCAGACAAAGCTTGTATCCTCGCTTGTCTTCCAGTTCCTTAACAAAGGATATTTCCTGGTTTTGACTAAATATCATATTCTATTCAATGCTGTGCTTATATTATTCTATGTTGTACAATCCACATTATGAACACAACCAGTTGCATTTACAAAGTTTGCAATTATATCAGTAGTGTTGCTGATAGGCTGCCTACTATTTTGCCTAGCAAATCCTAATTTAAGCAAAAACAAATAAAATTCATTATAGCCTACTTTATAAGTATTTGAGAAATGAGGTAAGCAATGAGTAATAATTCTCTCAAACCTCAAAATTTTTATCCCTGTCTTAGCCATTGTCGTTTACGCACGAAACAAGTGAATTTTAGGACAACATTGAATAAAGTTATATAACATAATTTGGTCACTTGTTACCTCTAGAAGTGTCATTACAAATTCAGCATCCGCTCCATTTGCATCATAGGAAACAAAAGCATCAATAGCCATTGTCGTTTACGCACGAAACAAATGAATTTTAGGACAACATTGAATAAAGTTATATGACATAATTTGGTCACTTGTTACCTCTAGAAGTGTCATTACAAATTCAGCATCCGCTCCATTCGCATCATAGGAAACAAAAGCATCAAATTTCAATTCTTTTTCCAATCCCATGCCTGTTTCTGGATCTCGTTCACCTTCTTTCATTTCCTTTTCCAGTAAACCTTGGAACCCAAGCAGTATTTCTTCATGTATTTTTTTGGTTCGTTGCTGTAAACAAATTTTAATATCATTTTTCAATTGATTTTAATGCTTTATTGAGTTGGGCAAACTTTGAACTTGAAGTTGACAAGTGGATTCCATTCGGCAAATTTCAGAATTTTCCTTAGTATGTGACATAAGATAGAATACAAAAAGTGCTTTATTTAACTTCCTTAGAAATTGGTAAACCACTAAAAAAAATTAAAAAATATTTCTGATAAACAAATTCTTACTTACTCTTTGCATATAAACATGGACAATAAACACGATTATGACACAGATGAGTATGAATGATATTATGCTAATGATGATCGTCACCACTGGTAATTCAGGACAATACTCTTCATCTTTAGTTGACATTATCTGCAATGTTCTTGCGTTTCTTTGTTGACTTGATTTACAAGTTAATTCCTTGAAAAAAAAATTCTGTGGTTAGTAAACCCGCAAGACTCCATTGGGCTTCCACAATGTTACCTCTAGAACTCCGCATGCCACCAGACATAAAACCAACTGGATTATAATTCTCCGCTAGCTTATTCGACATGTTTATAATAAGATTGTAGGTTTACAAGTGAAACAAGCCCAGAGAAATCGATTTCTATATTTTCAATTAATATTTTAAAATGTTGTATTTAAACATTTAGAAAAAGGTGAGAATTTGGTGAAATGTTTAGAAGTACAATGGGAATGTAGTACGACCTTCTGGTAGGCTCTGTCTCTCAATGAAAATCATGCAACGGTTACCAGTTGTAGTTTTGCTACTGCTAATCGCAAGCTTCATTAGTTACATATTTATCCTGGGGCAGAGGAAAGGCGAACCCACTGATGTATGAATATGAATCAGTTCTTGATCAAACTGACCTGCTAACTGATGTTGACGCACCATTTGCGTGTTTTCTTTGTTCACATGAATCCATTCAACTAATGTTCTAAGTGAACAGTTGCAAATGAAAGGATTTCCGGTCAGCAATAAGGTATCTACGAACTCCAATGTTCCAACTTCCACAAAATCAAGGTGTCTATAAAATTGCAATGTTGCTTAACTTTATTTATTGATGAGTAATATTTCAAGTGTTAAGTCATGCTGGCTGACGTTTTCTCATTCAAATTAACGAAAGTAGTTTCCAAGGATACCTGCTATGAATCATATACTTGAGGTCAATGCAGTTTCTTGACTGCCACTTGTTTTTTGCTATTTTTTTGTACATTTTATAAAACAGCACTTTGTATTTTCTTTATCGTATTCATTCATTAACACATTATGAAATTTGACACCACATTTCAGTTTATTAAAAACCAACTGAACAGTAATTAAGCTTTAATAATGCTTCATCGTAGACTTTCGTAGTGAAGATATGTGTGAAATAATTGAAATTTGAATTTTTCTTGTATCTGAGAATAGGGAATTACCAGTATATATTATATTGTATTATAAATATATATGCAAACATAGAAAATAAGACCAATTGGAGCAAGGTAAAATGTTTTAAATATAAGTGAGTGTGAATATGTGCATTTGTCAACGATTCGATATTATTCTGATTAACACTTACAACGATATTTGGCGGGGTCGTGGTATTTGAAAACTACTGCTTAAGACTATTTGGTTTGATTTGGACATTATCGCTACATACTTGATTCTGTTCTTGCTCAAATCCAGTGACTTAATCTTTGGAAAATATTTCTTGAATTCTTGTGTCGATGGCAGATGTTCGATAAAATTCCGAGATAAGTTCATAATTTGCACGGATGGACCAAATCCAGTCAGAGGTATTTGTGTGAGAGAATTTTCTAGAGAAAGAAATAATATTTTGTGTATTTTAAGCCTTATCAATCATCAAATCTTAAAAGGAAAAACAACGGTAAATTTTCTTTTGAGTGGTTCTTTGGTTTTTGAGTTGTTGCATAAGAAATTTTATGTTTATCCAATTTACCGGTATTTCATCTGAAATAAGTGGAATTTCATTTCATTTAACTTGATTGAGTGATACCTGATAAGTTGACCGACATCAACCTTGTTAGATGGCTGTATTGAATTTGGTCATCCTTCAGCATCAATCCACTTAGATCCAAACTTGTCCAATAACTGTTTTCTGGAATAACGGGAGCAATTCCTTCTTCATATGGGGGTTTGTAGGTATTAATGGAATCATCATTCTAAATACAAATATGCTTAGTTGCTATCTCTATTATTACTGGAAAATCTAGATAGCGATTCAAGCGACTTGGGCTTTGCTATACTTGATATGTCATATGCATATTTATGTCACTTATGATATATAAAAGGGGTTTCTATAATTGCATCTTGTTACATGTTTTTTTTACATTGTTAAATTTCTCCATATTTATATTTTCTTCAAGTAATTACCAGAAAAGCCCTTGAACAATTCAGTATTGGTCGGTTGTTGCTTTTCCATTCACATCTAATTGGTGCGCATTGCACTCCATATCTGAAATAATTTTTATCATTGAGGTATAGAATAGAAGATTTTCATTTTTCTATGGTGGAAAGGAATGATTCAATATTAATTGTTTATTTAGATATTGCTAGTTATATAATAGATTCATAACTTTGTTATACTCAATTTCTGCTTTGTGGTATTACTGAACTTTCGCGCCACTGCAATTCAAAATTTATCGGTTAAGGGTTTGAGTTATTCGATTGCGGCACTGTTTAGCACTAATACTACGCTGATTCATTATATCCTATTTAATTGCTCGGTATAATGAAGCTTACGTGAAATGTCCATGTAGATGGCGGATGTCCATACCTTGTTGACTTACTGGTGAACTACATTCAGGAAATGAAGGCCCGACAAACTTGTAGTCTCTTGGTGCTATGTCATTAAACCAGATAACAAAGGATTGCAGGGAACAGTCACAATGCTGTGTGATAAAGTGTGTATTAGTATCATTGAAATTATGCATTTGTTTGTTTTTATTTCAACTTTCTGCTGTTTTGTGTGAAGCTTTGTTTGGAGATAATATATTAATTTTATATCAGTAAGTTGATTTCTGCTCAATCCAACCCAATTCATCTCTGTCAGTCCTTCGAACTGATAAGCGTAAAGTACACTTATATTGTTGTTTTCCAGATATATTTGTCTTAAATTTGTCAAGTTCTGCAGTGCTATCAAATCTCTTGAATTCCAGTTCCCAATCTCATTGTCTCTCAATTCAAGCATTATCAATGATTTTGGCAAACCAATTGGAATGTGGCTGATACTGTTATTGTTTAAAATTAATCTGAAAGAAAAGATTCGAAATGTTGAAGATTGCCATCATTATGTTTCCAATTGTCAAATAGTTATTTAAACATGGTCTCGCTTACTTTTTCAATTCAGTTTGTGTTTTGAATTTGTCATCGGGTATAAATGTCAGATGTGGGTTGTCTGAGATTATCACCTCTTCCAAGTTTGGTGGAATTTGATCTGGCACTGATGTTAGACCTGCATCCCGACAAGTTAAATACTCGATTTCATAGATGCATTTGTCATTTGGTGGTTGCTTGATATATTCCATGTATTCAATTGCCACATTCAGCCAGTATATATCAATACCTGCAATGGAATTTAATTACGGTAGTTTTTTGCAGATTCCCACGCCTGTCCAAGTAGTTAGTCCAATAGGCCTAACTAAGTTGGTGTTGCAGACTTGACAACTCTGAGGACTCACCTTTTATTGGAATTTTACTGCAGTAAGCAACATTTTCTGTGTCACTTTTTTCATAAAACCCTGAACTTCCTATTATGATATCGTGACTTATCAGCCAACTGAGCATTTGCAGCATTTGTGTGTTGCAATACCATGGGTTTGCTTGCAGTTGGAATATTGAACAACTTGTACAGAAGTTGTAATCACTTGGCCCGTTCACAATTGATATTTGATTGTGGGTGATCAAATATTCTGTATTCCAGGCTGGATTCCTCTTGGCATAGATGATAGCCTTGATTGTAAAAAAGTAAAATAAAGTTATCTGCTGTTGTGTGAAAAACTAAGATTTGATCAAATTCATCTTGAAAAATTTATCCTGGTCATCACTGCAGGGGTGTTTTAGGGATGTTAGAGATTGAAAGTTATTGCAATATGTAACGTGATTTTGTCCATATGGGTGTAATTTTGTATATTGGTTATATAATTACTTGTTATCTGACAGATCAGTACTCCAAGTTTTTCATTGCAATGAAAGGGTCACTGAATTCTATCAAATTTCCATGGAAGTATAATGTTTGTAATGTAGAAGGCATTTGTCTTGGTACCATCACCAGAAGATTATTAGATAAATCTAAAAATTTCAGGTTTGACAAATTTTCCCAGTTTTTTGGTGACACTTGGTAGATTTTGTTGTGAGACATTTGTAGGTTGATCAATGATAAGGGGAGATCTTTTGGAATGTCTTTCAAATTATTATAATTCAAGATGAGTGTATTTAATTTATTAGCTTTCTGAAATCTTTTCATTTCCGTAGATGGAATGGTATGCATTTTTGAATGGGTCAGGATCAACTTTTCTACGAAGTTTGCTGGTAATCCTGTTGGCCATTTCCCTTCATCAAGAATGCCGTTATGTATCCATATTCGTTTCAAGGAGCTGGGTGCATCTGCAAAAGCTTTAGAAAAATTTTTCATTCCACCTCCAACTATTTTTAATAGGGATATCTTTTCCGGCCATTTTACTTCAGGTTGAGTTTCATTGCTTGCAGGCATATTGTTGAGAATGAGGGTGCTAGTACTTTCGGGTATGCATTCTGGCATTCCTATAATATTTTCCCCTCTTATCTGCAATGTGATATTGTTCTTAAATCTGTGTAGTCTACATGCCATTCCCGTTTTATTTCCATCTGTGAATCCATCAAAGCCGTTTTCTGATACAGAAATATTGAATATTGTGCCTGCAAAAACAATATTTACCATAATATATTGAGGTAATTATGAACATTGAACGTTTGGTTTGATTCAATTCACTCATTACTTGAATGGAGCTCATTGGGTATAGAGAGTATTTATTGTGCTGATTAGAAGTATTGACAAATTACAATAAATCACAGTTTATATAAATATATATCATTTCTTTCTGTTAAAAACTACTGATAAAACTTGTAGGATTTCATATAAAGCTTACTATTCAAAAGATTTGATGTACCAGTAATAACAACATACTTGGCATACAGTTCCAATTCAGCGAAGTCATTTTTTTGTGTACAAACTTGTTTTCAATTAACGATATTCTTCTTGCATTAGTTTTCCGTAGTTCATATATTGCTGATATATTGTGAAAAGTTGATCCTGAATCAAATGTTTGAAAAATTGACATTTGTTGTCATGTTTTACTTTGCATTGAAATGTTGTATTAATATAAAACACTTACTTATAAATAAAATTGATGTTATATTTTCATGTGGTATGAGATGAAGTGGTGGATCTTCTGCTTCACTACATCTGAATCGAATACCATCCCTACTGCAGATCCTGTCACACCTGTAGTTGGCAATTATATTAAATATAAGTTAATGATGTTAATTCGACTCACCAATCACCTGTTACATTGATCCATTTAAAATGGATGTTGTATACCTGTAATTGTATTTAGGAAATTATTCGAAACCGCGTACTGTTGTTGAATCTAGTTAATTTGCAACATTTTCTTGTAGTGTTTTGTATAAATCGAATACAGGTATGTGTAAGTGAAAAAACATTTACAAATAAGCTTTTACAATTCATAATAAATCCAAGTGAAAATTAATCTATTTGGGCAATTAAGTTTTACAAAAGTTGTCCACTTTTCAATATTCGTGATTTCTACCTATTTTTCATTGAAGCCTTGATGAGGAATGAATAGTGCATAAAATAATTCAAGTTTTCAGTTTCCTGTAATAAAAAATTGTTTATATAGCCTTCTGTATAAATATTGAAATGCAAAATAACTCACACACATCCTTTATACCCGGACATTTGTTGATTGCACCATGAAGATGAAGAATGTTGATACTTATGAACACTGCAAATATCCGAGTCCGTTTTAAAATTAATTCCATCACTGTCTATATTACAATCAAACTTTATCTGAATTAGTAAAAAAAACTAAAGCTAATTAAAGTAACATCAGGTGATCTTAATTCTCCAGTACTCTTTCCAGTACCTTTCAAGTCTTAATTCATACAATAAATTTCAATTTTTTGCTCCAACAAATGATAAATAATTGACTTGACTGGTATATTGCTGTTTATCGTAGACATTGACTGTTATTAATGTAACTCTGCACCTTAACATATGGTTTCTATAGGGTTTCTACTGTATGAGCCATCGCATCAATGAGTCCAAGAAGTTCACTTTATCAGGAAAATGAGTCATCTGTTGTCTATTGTCGCTTAACGAAAATACTACTCAATTAGAAATGGGAATACATGATCTATAATCACTCGTGATTTGAAACAATAGCAGGTGTAAAATTTTGCTATTCATTTTTATGTGAATTTTCTTATGAGCTTAGTTTATATTTGTATCTAAAATTTTGATAAATTCAAAAAAAATTTAAATTCCATTCAGTGTGACATGAAAATATTTAACTTTATTGTAAGGGCCTGAAAGTTTTCCCAGACTATATTTTGATATCGTACATGTACAACAAAGTTGTTCAAAAGTCTTACTAGAAACTATCACCTTTTTCTTTGCTAATTCTTATCACAATCGAAGTGTGTCACCATCACTGCTATTTAGAAGGGAAATTAGGTTTACTATTACTTCCTGCTCACGCTTTCCCATTTAATCTAGTTTCTATACGATGAAACCTGATCTTATGGCAATAGTAAAACCTGCAACTGTAGGAGCACAACATTTTAAATCAAACTACGATTTTTTTTCTTGATTGTTGGTTGAACACTCTAAACATAACACAACATTTTAGAGATCATTTTCACTCAGCTATTTTCCCGACAGTGTTGCTTTGTATAGTTTCAAGTTTGTATCTACAAAGATAATTACTGAGAACTTTATTATATTTACCAGTATTTACTTCTAGGTGTCAGACTTTCTATCCTCATACCAGTGATCATTTTGCAATCTGTTTTTGTTATCTTTGGTTAAAAAAACTCACTTCCAAGATCATATTTATTAATATCAATATACAACTTTGTATCCAATGCTTTATTGCTAATATTTTAACACATACAAATTGTTACCGGTATATGATATTGTTATATGTTTAAAAATGAAAAGATGGACAAACAATCTTAATAATTTAATAAATAAAAAGATTTTCTTTTTAATTAATTAAAAATTAATGGCGAAACTTTGCTGTGCAAAGGTCCCATTTCTTTTGATAACTAATACTCTTTTTCGCGTATATTCCTCTATATTGCTATAATCTTTTTATATATATATATATCAGACCATTTCAAGAAGCCTTGTATAACAATTGAATACTTTTTGTTTTTAGCGTTTTATTATGTTATTCTTCAACTTTTACTGACAATTTAGCCATGTAAGTTTGCCAATAATGAATAAAAGTATATTCCATGGTATATTACTTAGAAATCAACATCTGAATAGTGGCAGTTGTGTTCGATGTAATGTTACTCTTAGCGTGCATGGACCCTTTTTTCCTGTGGATATTAGTTATTCTTGCGGTGCTGAAGTGAAAGCAGTCTCTTTTCAACCATCTTCAATTTATTAGAAATTTGTTTTCTTTTTTGATACAGCTGCATACTTTTTTTCTTCAATTTTCTGTAATATTGAATAATGTGAATATTGTGATGTACAGTAGGCTACTTCTTTTAATAAAATTGCTATACAGGGAATTGGTATTCTAATTTCAATCACCTACCTAATTATCTGTTGTGAAGTCAATTTCATCCATGATTTATTCTTTGTTTTGGGAGTATTTGCAATTGGGTTACCATTCATTTGAACATTCTTAATACTTTTTGGTAATCCTTCAACTGGTATTTTTGTCAAGTTATTGTCTGTAAAGGTGTTGAAGATTTTAATTATTTTTGTAAAGTTGTGTGTGTGTTCATAGTTTTGTATGCTTTCTTACCTGATAAATTTATCGTTTCAAGTTGTGTGAGATGTTCATATTGAATCTGGCTATTACTTAGTTTTAGTCCACTCAAATTCAATGAAGTCCATTGTGAGCTTGGTGGAATTATTGGTGCATGATGAAAATTTGCCTTTGGTTTTGACTTTAAGATTGTCTTCGTAGTTACCTAGGTTAAATTAATTTGATGATATTTGGCATAGGTAATATTTAAATCCATGCAGTATTCTTAGTTGCCGAAGAAATATATGTCAAAATTTTGGATTCAAATTTAGACAAAGATTTCAATTTTGACTAACTTGATATTCTGCAGAACAGTCCAATAATCCTGATTGTCCATCCCAACTGCATTCAGAAGGCACACATTGTAACTTATATCTTGATGAAAAAATAGGTACTTGATAACTTTTTGTTAGTTGTCTTATAATATGCAATATCCCTTGTGTATTTGATTTACTGGTTGATGTTTGTGCATTTTTGTTAATATACTTTAAATGTCTTCATACTCACAAATAGTATCCATAAAGCTGACGTATATCCCTCCCTTTGACATCAGCAGGTAATGAGCAAGTTGGGTAACTCATAGTAATTTGGTTCGTTCCTCTTGGCGCCATTTTTCCATACCATGTCACAAATGATAGAAGGTTGCAATCACATATCTGAATACATTTATGATTTCATGAAACTCTCATGCAATGTTGTATAACAATGATATCTACAGGGAGTATTTAATGTAGAAGCAAAAAATAAAATTATGTGATTTAGGATTTACCAACTGGTTTTCAGCCAACTCAATCCACTGTAAGTTTGGCAAAGCTTCGAATTGCCAGGCATGCAATGTTTTGATACGATTGTTTTTGATGTTGAGGAATTGCAAGGATGTTAAATTGTTCAATGTGGCCAAGTCTCTTTGTGTGAAATCCCCGATTCTGTTTCCGATCATACTAAGCTTGACAAGTTGGCTAGGAAGCCCAAATGGCAGATTTGTGAGGTTGTTGTGGTCCAAAAATAATCTAGAATAGATTTAAGTAACTGAATGTTAATGCCTTTTATTTAAAATTATAAGTAGGCCTACAGCCCAGCAAAAGATATACTAAAGCATTGATCAAGAAGGATGGAGAGGGATGTAATAAAATTACAGTATCACTGTTGGATTGTGATTGAATATTTTGAATATAACCCTCCCTCTTCTTTTATGTATTCAACTAAAATTATTACCGTACTTACTCTTTTAGTTTATTCTGTGCATAAAACAAATTATCTGGAAATTGGGACAAGTTTGGATTCCCAGTGATGCTGATTTTGTTGAGATGAGCTGGCAATGTATCTGGAGCTTTGTTCAGTCCTGCATTGACACATTTCAACGAGTCCACAGTGTATGAACAATTGCTGTTGAATTTGCTGATGTACTTCAGATACTCCATTGTTTCATAAATAAAATGTTCGTCCAATTCTTAATAACAATAGATTCCATGTTAATCATGATTATTTGGATTATAAAAGTATTCACAGTTAACAACATTCAATGGTAAATAATCACTTAACCTTACCTCCAGGTTGTGGTTTGCAAATTTGACTTCTTGTTGATAAATATCCTGTGTTGATTTTATGCATTTTCAACCATGAGAACATCAGTATGGTTTGAACATTGCAAATCCAAGGATTGTTGTCTAAAGCCATTATGTTACAGTATTTGCAGAAATTATATTTCTGTGGATGTTGACTGTATAAATTTATTTTGAAGAAACAAAGCTTGTATCACTTGTGTATTCCTTCCGGCAATGTTTCTAACCTGACAAGAATATAGAGAATTTACATAGTGTATCATATAATAGTGCACGAATGTCATATATAGATATCTAATTAACCAGGGATCAGGGAAAGACATTCGGAATACATATTTTTTATACGATGTTGTGAATCTTCCAAAGTTAGAAATTATTTAAATGTAGATTTGTCATTTGAGTAGTTGAATATGCAGGATTCAAAATATCTTCCATGTAAGTGCTCTAGGTTGAGGAGTGCTAGGGTGTTGGATTTGTTGTGGCTCTCACCACAAGGATGCCTGAACTAGGTAGTAATAAACTGATAAATGAGAATAACATAATCATCTCTTTTCACGAAATAGCAAAGATATTTGTAGGCTTTCGTTAAATGTAGATTGTAGTTTTTTAGATGAAACAAGATATAACTCCTAAGATAAGTTATATTGGCCACTCCTAGTCTTAACAAATGTGAAAATATGAAGGAAAATCAGAAAATAATTATTTTTCTATTTTAACGTTTGTATTTTAATATCAAAGGTTACTCACATGTTGTTAGACAAATCCAAAAATTGAGATTGTAATTGAGCTGAATGAAGAAAGACTGTATAATTGTATCCGAGATCGATATCTGAAGTGTTGACGGCATTCCAACTGGTACTACTGACAATCGATTGTGTCTCAGATTCAGCTGCTTTAATTCGGGAATTGTTTCCAAACAGTTTCGTCCACATTAGATATTTCGTTGTATGAAATAAGCTGCTCGATTGACGTTGAAAGTAACTTGGTAATTGCTTGAATTGATTTCTACTAAGTGATAAATACTTCAAGTTTACTGCATTTTTCATTAAAGGAATCAGTACAGAGGATGTTTCTCTTAACCTACAATTTTGTAAGGTTAAGCTTGTTAACTGATGTGATGGAAAATGCTCTGCCCAACTAATATTAAGTTTACTTCTTTGAATATCATCGTCTTCAATGTGCTTGGGATTGATTGGAAAAGATGTTTATGCTTATGATCCAATGTGATTCTACTCATCAACAATATGCTATATTTCTCGGCCATTTCGTCATCTCTATTGTTTCCTGTTTACTGTGTTGTATATTAGAAATTGATAGCTTTGTTGTACTTTCAGGTAAGCACAATGATAATAATGAAATTTTTTCATCCGATATGTGTATAGTCAAATTATTCTTCATTCTTGTAAAGTTGCAATCCTCTTCACCATTCGCAAAATTTATGAATCCATTTCTTGATAATGAAATAGTTGTAATCGAATCTGAAAGTATGAAAATATTGGTGGCTTTGGTCTGAAAGACTTCTAAAATATAGAATTATATCAGAATTATATATTTTTTTGTTGCCTTATATGTACATAACAACACTTGGTTAAAATTTTGTGCATCTCTTGGCGGTAAATGAATAATGTTTTACGTGAACAAAATTTGTTTTCAAATTCATTCATGATGATAATGGTAGTTTGGTACCTGGTATCCATTTCCAAGTGAAGACTGCAGTTTCTCCAAAATTGTTTCGATAAAGACTAAGTTTGTTGAGCTTTGTTTTACGTAGTTCATCCAGGATAGATAAGTTAGCAATTGTTACTCCTGTAAACATATTTAAACCGCATTGTTTTTATAGTAGTCAAATTTTGACATTATATCTATATATTATGGTAACATACTAGGGTGTATGCAGTAAGTTGAAAATAAAATGGATAGAACCAACTTACTGGACAGAATGAGCTGTGTGATGTTTTCATGCGGCATGAGATGCAGTTTAGGATCTGTCATACTTGAACAACTTATCTTCATTGTTCCATCTGCTGTATCTGTTTCACCGTGAGATGTAGAATCCTTTAAGCATCTGAAACAAATTGGCAATCATTTGTGTTGAATTTGCAAATTTTTCACCACCCCTGAATGAATAACTGGATACTCACCGGCATCCTTGTATCTCCGGACACAAGTTCGCAGCCTGTAGATCTTTCAGGTTGATTAATAAAAATAAAGCAACAGCATAAACTTGTATACAGGTTTTTGATACTGAGATTTCCATTGAGTTTAACATTTATTATAAATTGAAAATATGCTTTAAAAAATAGAACTCAATTCAAATTTTTGGAACTTTAGACTCCAATTCACTACATTTATGAATGATATTTAATATCAGCTAAAGTAAAGGAATTTCATGTATTTGTAGGCAATAAATTCCTTCACAATCTTGCTATTTCTGCACATTCCCTTTATATAGGGTTCTGGGTTACAATTTTTCATGATGGTTGCCAGGCTGCTCGCAACTTAGAGGAAATATCTATAAATAGCACATGATTGCAGTCACAAGTTGAGTAAGGACAGTTCTTGAACAACATAGTGCATAAGTCGTGTGATCAGCAATTGATAGAACTTGAAGGCTTTTATAAGCTTCATATAAATTAGTGAATTTATTTTGCATATTTACATCACTTATGTATCATCATATGTTAAAGTGCACCTATCAATTCTGAAACGTGATGTATTATGGCTTTTTTCTGAATTTACTCATGCGTCCGCTTCCAGTTGCCATGCTCACTTTCGTCTAATCCTTGATCTAACCATATTTGGAATTCATCATATTGCCAGTCATCTTCACCTACTTAATATTTTAAATATGCACTACTGTTTGTACATCTACAAACTCGTTTTAGTGGTTCGCCTTTTCTGTCCTATCATAGATAAACTACTTCCTAATACTTGGCTAAAATTCCAAGTTAGTGTTTAGTTTACAAATATGTATTGATAAGCCAGTAAACAGAGTGGGTATTAGCTCAAGTTAGAATGGCCTAGGGGAAGGGATAGGAACCCTTTTTGGTCCACATTTCTCCACTATGATTCATACTGGATTTTTATACCATTCCTGAATCCAGGTATATCGAATAAAAACCATTTCTACCACATTACTTGATATTTTTTGTCTTGAAAACGCTAAAAAATTATTTACCTCTCAACCAAATGCGACTTGGCAGAGATTACAGTATCCCCAACCAAATCCTAATATTGATATCTGTAACTTGTTCTAGTGAATTAATATTATTTTCAGATGCATTTTGATAAAACATTTTAATTGTATTTGTTTCAAAGAAACTTCAAACTTTTTAATAAATTGTATAATTGTTTCATAATATTTCTATCATCATTGTGTGATTGACACTAGCTTTTTTCAAAAATTTCGAAATATTTTACATCAGTTTTTATTATTCTGGTAAAGACATTCATTTCTTTGACCCCTCAACTATTTATTCAGCACAAGTACACTCTAATGTGTTGCAATTACCTAAAAACTCTTTTACTTGTGGAAAAATGAGTCTATCTAGATTTCTTCCATATTGCACAATACCTGTTTTTTCCTAATCCATATAGTGGTTGTCGAAATTTCATTGTATGACTGTGAAACTTTTCAGTAAAATAATAATCAGAAATAACTACTTTTCCAACAGCGTGGTTATATACAATATAATTATTTTTTTAAATCTACCATCTAGCCTGTCATCACAATTTCATAAAAGTGTAGATTTAGGTATGAGTATTCCATAATGATTATACCTTATAAGAATCATTCAGGATAAAATACGACTGAAACAATTGCCAGGTAAATTTCATCATCAGAAATTGAATTTTTAGACTAAAGTTTTATGCTTTTTGTTTTGCATGCTGAAAATGAAAACTAGATTCTATCCTCGGACTGATTTTCTAGTCTATAGCACTTTTTTTTAATTGTTGAAAATAGGTCTTAAGCACTTTTAATATCAAGTTTTATTGCTTGTTCAGAATAGATAGGAACAAGATAGGAATAAACTAAATTGCATCATTATAGACATTTGAAAAGATATGTGATTAATATTATTATGCATTCAGTAAGTTTTCGAATGTTTTCCAAAACTTTTCCCATTCTCTTTGAGGTGCGTTCAGAGCAGGTGCTTTGGTTGGTGGAATTGTAGATATAAATGACTTCACTGCTCCCTGGATGTTGTCTTTCAATGTCCAGTCCTAAAATATGATGATTAAAACATTAGCTTTTGATTTAGTTAGAAATAGGAATGGATGTATGGTGACAATATTAGGGACATTGCTGCTTTGGTTTTCCAGTTTGCTGCTCAAAATTAGACTGCTAATCAAGAGAACATTTGGTAATGACTAACTATAAATATTAGACGTTATCCAGAAACAATTTTTCAATACCGGTATCAAAATCGGCACAAGCAGTTTTCTTTGTCTTTCATGGAGTTCAGTCAATGCGACTTGGATCTCGTACTGACACCATGGGCTTGAAATAAAGCTTTTGGACAACAGCAAGATGATACACTTCGATGAACCGATGCATCTGACAATATTTTCTGCTATGTCTTCTCCTGGTGGGAAATCTCTATGTGCGATACAAAGGGTGTAACCTCGTTTTTCTTCAAGTTCCTATGAATGTAACATTATAACATGATTTTGTTACTGTTTTATTCTATTAACTAGTACTGAGTAGTACATGTTAGTATATTCTATGCAATATAAATTCCCCAAAATAGGAAATATGTGATCAACAAATTAAGTATTAGAAAGATTAGAATATTTGGCCAATACTAACTTGAATTTTTTTCTAAATATTTATTGTCGTGTTCTGTATCTTCACTGGCAACAAAACAATCAAATACAAATGTTTCATTGTCTTTTCCAAATGTTTCTTGTTTCATATATAAGGTATTTTCTTGTTGTAGAAGCTTTTGAAAACCATTCAATATCTGAGCTTTGTAGTCACGTCGTCTTTTCTAAAAGTAAAGATTTGTATGGTTTTCTTAGTCTGATCCCACAAATTTTGTTTTGTTCTTATCCACGATAATCGTGTTTGGCGATCGCTTTTTACAGCTATTGTGCGGTCAAAAATTGTTGAAACAAAAGTCAATAAGTCCATTTTCCTCACCATATACAGAAAAACTACTATAAGTAGCGTTAAAATTATTACAGCCACCATCGCAGAAATTCCTGCTTTGAGAATTATTGAGGCACTACTCTGACACACATCTTCTGAGGAAATATCTTGAATTCTTTGATCCATTATTTCTTTTGGACTGTCACACCGAAGTTCCTGTTTGTAGATAAATGCATTTGATAATGTATTCGCTGCACTTTAGTAAAATTACTTTGATACCATTTACCTGAATGTCATATTTTCCATTCTGGCTGAGAGAACTTCCGTTTGCTTTTACCCATGTGATGAAATGATTAAGAGTGCAGTTGCACACAAAAGGATTTCCTCGCATAAATACAGAACCAATCACTGGGAGCAGCTGGACCTCTTTAACACTAAGTATTCTGTTAATAAAAAATGGCATTTGGTGTAAGTTGTGAATTTCTAATATACAAAAACAGTCTTTAGAGCAATGTGAATTGTTCTTCTTAAAAGTGCAGCTTGTTTTGTTACCGGAATAAATTCTAACCATTGTTAATAATATTACTTGATTTTGTTATTCCTGAGATTCACGAGCCGCAGTTTTGGTACGTTCTGTAGTATATTTTCTTTTGTGGGTAAGTTTGTGATATAATTTTTATTCAACTGCAATTCTTCCACATTGGTTGGTAAATTTTCTATTGGCAATCTTGTCAGTTGATTTTCTAGAAGTTAAATCGAAAAAAGGGATATCTTTAACTGAACTGCTTGATTGTGTTGAATTGCTATTGTCATTACGTTTCTCACCTGAAATGTCAACGTGGATCAGATTTTTTAGATGTTTCAGCTGAATGTCGTCATCATTTAATTTTAGACCACTAATAATCAAAGACTTCCAAAGCTTGTTTCGAGGTATATTTGGCAGGGCTCCTATGACAGGATCTGGTTTGGAGAACATGTAATATTTTTCTTCCTGTTGAAATATTATACGATTTATTATATATTTGAATTTTAGCATGTGCAACCATTGTAAAATGGGATTCCCTTTTTGTGTATAATAATATCCAAAAGTTATTACATATCGAAAGGAAATCCAGAGTATGAGGGTATATCATATCCACTGGGCTATAGATCTCATACTTCTTATCTTTCTAGTTACTTTCCAACCTTTTGTGCAGCAATTGAACAGTTAAGAATATCGTCCATCTCGAGTTCTTTCCATTTGCATGATGGTGGTCTGCATTGTAATTCATACCTGTTAAGCAGAAATATATATATATATAGTTCTGTCGTCATTAAGAAATAAAATCAAAATGAAAATCTAGGGAGTACACTCACTCGTATATCCAATGCATTTTCCTAATGTCACGATCATTCCACCTTGTAGGATATTTACATCTCGCATATCTTGCAAGCTTACTCTCATAATGAAGTACTGGAATTAACTTTTGGTACCACTCTATAAGGGATTGCAGAGAGCAGTCACAAACCTATTGCAAATGAAATTGTTAAATTGTTTGCAATTGCAAAGCAGCATAGATCATATATTTGGCAAAAAAATTTAATCGTTCGAAATTAAATAAAGTAATGCAAAATAAAGTGCTTTGTGAAATCAAAGAAATTGTTTCTGCGTTTAGTTAAATATAAACAAAATGCTCTGAACAGCATTGCAATTATTTTTATCTGATCAACTCACCAATTCATTTGATTCTAATCCTATCCAACGTAGTTTTGTCAGGTATTTGAACTGATTACTATATAAAGTTCTAATTTTGTTGCCCTCCAGATATAATTCTTTCAAGTCTTTCAAAAAACTGAAAGCTTCCACATCTCGGCTTGATATTCCGTGATGTTGTTGTATTGTAAACGAGGTGCATTATCATTGAAGGAAGCCCATATGGAATTCTTTTCAGGTTATTTTCACTCAATTCCAGTCTTAAAATGATTTTGTTATATCTGTTAACTTTTGGACTTTTGCAATTTTGGTTTCTGAGTCATTATGTATACTTACCCTTTCAAAGTAGTTTGTGCTGAAAATATATAGTCTGGAGTTTCCTTAAGATTTTTGTTTCCTTTAATTACCACCTTTTTTAGACCATCCGGAGGTGAATTCGGAAAATTATCGAGTTTGGCATTAGTACAGTTGAGTATTTTCTGTGACTCATAACTAAAATATAATCTTTGTATTATCATATTTTTAGATTGATATTGAAAACAAGTATTAAAGCTTATTAGGCGACTGAATATGTAGCCATCATGATTGATTCACCAACCCTCAAAGTGTCGTTAGTTATTTGGCCATCAATTATTGTGATTTTTCAATATCAATAGTCAATACTGTATTTATTCATGTGAATGCTCATATAAGCAGTAACCGAGCCCTTTAGGAATCTTTTTATTCCAACAAAGGTTTTAATTATTCTCAAAGATTTTGCTATTTATTCGACATACTCACCGGCAATTGGCAAATGGTATGCTTTTAAGTTGTTGCATGAAGGTTTTGGCGTGTTCCAAATATTTTTTCGTCAAAGCTGTTGGAAAAAGGTTTCATCAGAATCTTCTTTTTTTCATTTGAATTTAATAATCAACTTACCATTTTTGGGCAAACTTGTACATTCGCCATGCGAGAATGAATGCAAATTCAAGTAAAACATTTTTATCACATCATTGTCAGCATTTGTCACTATCCATAACATCATTTCAAAAAATTTATCATCACAAAGCCATTTGTTGTTTCCAAATCCAAATTGTCTACATTGTGTGCAGAAATTGTAGGCTTGTGAATCTGGTACAAGGCTTATAAGGTTGTAACTAATGCTGTAGTCAAGTAGTCCAGGATGAATTCCGATAGGCATTGTGAGCAACCTGAAAACATTGTTTTTATATTTATTACAAAAATCTCTGCTTATTCATAATATTATTCTTTCTTCAAAACACAAAAAATAACATAAAATTTGTAAAGTTAAATTTCTTACTGTATTGATTATTTACCTATTATGAGATAAATCCAGTATTTTCAATCTGCTCAAGTGGTGGAAAGCTTCTGTAGGACAGTTGCTGATTTGATTATATGCTAAATTGAGGTCTTCTATTGTGTTGGCAGACCCAGTGGCATTGACTCGAGATGGTTTTGGTTTAAAATATAGTATTTCAGACTTGAATTTAGCCATTGATTTTTGATATTTCTGTAATCTCATTAAACGATAATAACAAGGTTTTAACTGTTAGTGGTAGCTTGGCATAAAACCTGGATATTCTGTTACTCTTCATATTTACTGTGTGCAGTTTCTTAAATTTAAGTAAGATTCTGGTTGGATTGAATGCAAGTTACATGATAGGATCATCAAATGTTTCAGAGTACTTTCACTTCCTATATGTGGAATATTTCCCTCTCGGAGTGGAATAGATGTTAACCAAACCAATGTCAAATTTTCATTTGCTGAAGTGAATTTTGTGGCATACTTCCTTTTCCGTAGAATGTTATTTTCAAATTGTGCTAATGATTTTGGCCATGCCGTGCCATTTGTGATGTTGATATCTACCAATAAAATTTTGGAAACTGAATCTGGAATGCATGGAATTGTTTTTTGAAGTTTGGTGAGTGTTAATTTCGTCAGATTTTTAAGTCTGACTTTTTCGTTCTTGCATAGACTTGAATTTCTATTTTGTGGAATGAATTGGTCGATCTTTACTTCTTTGATTGTTAATTCTTTTATCGTATCTGTAATAAAATGAATATTGGTTTTGAATGGTGAGTTTTTGGAGTATTTACTAATCATAAACCTGGAACAGAAAAATAAAATCCAAACCTGGTAGCCATCGCATGTCAAAATATTGCAAACTACCACCGGATAGACTCAACTTTTTCAGTTGCGTTGTTTTGTTTCGTAAATTCCTCAAAGATTCTGTTGTTCTTGAAGATACTGAAAAAGAATGCATTCCAATCGAATAGTAAATGAGTGTCTTGCTGAAAGTGTTTCTGGTACTCACCATATTTAAATTGAAGAATACTTATATTCATCACAGGTAGAAGGTCCATTATCCTAATGTCATATTTGTCACATGATACAAACAGTTGGTTTTCTGCTGTAACCTTGTCGGTGTCGAGTTTGTAGCAACTAAAAATTTTATAATTGGGATAGGAATTACTACTATAAAGTTTCTCAAATATTGGTATGAATTTTAGAATTTTCATTCCACATTTTAAAAATTTTTGTCATCAATGTTTGTTTAAATAATTAAAGAGGCAAACATCAGAAATGCCACAAATTTGTTTCAGTCAAAAAGGTTTTTAGTATAATCAAAAAATATTTGATACCAGTACATATAGCAATGCAATTATAGTGTGTTCGAATAGAGAAATGTCATAATCTCAAAATTTCCACTTGCATGCTGATGTTGCCTCAATAGCAGCTACTGGTGATATTGTCAATACTAATAACTTATACAAATATTTCAATATATCTCTGCTACTCACTAGCAATCAGTGACATCCGCACACCAGTTCTTTTTCAGGAAGTTTGCTCTAACAGTGCAAAATCCAAATGCGCACAAAAGTAATATAAACATCCCAATCTTTTCTGAATTATCATTGTTGAACATCATTGATTATCCTGATCATAATATATCTAATCTGATTGTTATCCCATTGCCTTTGAAACAACTTTCTTGAACTGACTCGTATTCCCTTTTTTGTAACTAGTCATGATATTGCTCATTCATTGTAATTAGTCACTGTTTCAATACGTGCTATGGAAAGAATTTCAGTATAGTAATCACGAGCTACATTAACATTGTTTAATGTGAGAGTACTGTAACATGCAAGGAAATTCCCACTCTTTGAATATACTTAATTCTAATCAGTTGCTTGTAATAAAAAGAGGTTTCTAATAATTGACACTCTAGCAATGGACTTATTTTTTTATTAATACGAGGAGGCCATCTTATTGAATATTATTGTATATTTTCTAAGTATTCCATAGTTTGACTTGGCAGGCTCTCTCTTATTTCACATTTTATGTCATATCTTATTTCAGAGTATATTACTGATGACCAGTGTTGTCAAACTTTCCTATTTCCACACAGTTCAATCCTTGAACCTATATTTTTGATGGCTTTTTGGATAACCCTATTTTCCATTGGCCAAATGTACCAATGAGTTTTGGTTCAACTTTAAATTTTCCCCTTCAAATCTATATTGCAGCAACCTTTGAATCTTGCTCAGCTTCTAGAATTTGATTCTAATGCTTGCGTAGATGAAGGCAGACTCCAACTGTGTAAAAACGTTCCTGTTCCGCCTGTTCGTTCTCCCCCTACTCAGTTTCTTTTTTTTATCAAATTAGCTTGGGGTACAGCGGGTGGCCTCTTGTGCAGGTATTTTTTTAAGGCTGAGCTTTTTCAAGACAGTGACTAATGTGCCAGAGAATGACCAGAAAATAATAAAATTTTGAAGATGTTTCAATACACTGATGTATAGAAGAAACCTTCCTTTCTTTCAAATAAACAGTATTTTTATATATAATGCACAACATGCATTGAAAGCATTTTGTGAATTATGAGTTAGACCAGTTGTTCTTAAAATTTTTAAGCTGCGCCCCACCTCAAAAATACCTACGGTAGCTAAAAATAAGCTACAAATAACGAATAGTAAAGGGAAAGTATGTTTTATTCAAAAAACATGTTGAAAATGCGTGGATGGAATGTAAATAATAAAATATATGGAAAGTTTTGAAATGTAAATGTCCAAAATAAGGCTGGCAAGATCAAATCTAACAAATATTTTTATTTTTTATTAGATTTACGCCACTCAAAAAATTCTCTACGCATATGAGGCGCACCCCACTTTTTGAGAACCATTGAGTTAGACACACAAGATATCGAATTCCATTGTTTTCCATTTTTATTCCAAGTTTTTATGGGATTTCTTCAGTCTCTAAGTGTGCTTCTGCAGAACCCATTAGCATGCTCTCATTTTATGAGTTGCTGCCAATTTCTCTCTCATACAATGCTATCTTGAATTGGTTCTTCTGGCATTGCTTCTTTAATTTCATTCCAGAACACAGTCCACTGAGAATGACTCTGGTTATGTGGTATTCTTATACCTTTTATCAATGATAAAAACGTTTTTACACTTCCTTCTACTTTTCCATCCAGTTCCTGAAAGTGAAATTATGCAGCAAAGAGTAAATAAGATAACTTTCTGTAAATACTTGTTTTTAGAATCATTAAAAATAGTATTTTTAACTAAGTTTTATCTCAGTTCTGTATTCCAACAGTAATCGAGAATCAGGTTTTTACTGGAATGTAATGGATTTTTCTTGAATATTAAGCTTCACTGAATAGCTTTTGAGGATTTGCAATGTTAAGAATATTGTCAAATTCTTATTGAGTTTGCAATCATACGTACCTCCAGCAAAATAGGTACAAGAAGTTTGCTTTTCCTCTTTTGATGGAGCTCTGTAAGTGCGATTTGAACTTCATATTGACACCATGGACTTGTTACAAAATGGTTTGATAAAATTAGAATAATGCGCTTTGATGCACCTATACATTCCACAATATTATCTGCTATGCCAGTTCCTGGGACAAAATCCCTCTCATGTACACATAGCTTATAGTTCTGTTCAATCTCCAACTCCTGAAATAATTTTATTTTGAATTTTATGAGTTTTCTCTGTAAAGTTTTGTGTGAGTATATTGAATTTTTTGTGGAGTAAAATAGTATAATCTTGCTGGTTGTAGTCAAAGTAATTATAAATATAATTCAAGAATAAACAATTAATTCAGATGTGAGCTTTCATCCGAATAATAATTGGTTATCAGTACCAAGCTTTGTTTTAAACATATGACTTTTTGTGATTTTATGAAAGGCGGCATTCACAAAAAAATGTATGTATGTTTATTCGTTTCGTAATAGTGATAAATAAATAAATTGACAATTATTATTATTTAAGACGGGATGCATGCACAAGACCTATTGGCCTAAAACACAAATGTGCTGCATGCACCCCTTTTGCCAAATATAAAACAAAAAACATTAGATATGTATAATATAGCTAATATGGTTCCATTACATTTGAACCCATGTACATTTGAACCCACGTACATTTGAACTCACGACAATTGCACCTGCATATTAGTGCACCTATGAAAATTTTTTCTGTTTTACGGATATTTGAACCCATCCTAACCCTAACCCATGGGTTTTAGCACCCGCATATAGATTGAACCCGCGGATATACACATGGGTTCAAATGTTCGTGGGTTCAAATGTACGGTCACCAGTTAATATGTATGTATATAGCTAAATATAGCAAGCCTATGCACTCCGCAGGGACCTCACTTCAAGCAAACTTGATGAAATAAATTTGAAACTAGCAAAATTCTGACTGTTATTGATATGAAATAAACAATTGTATACAGAAACAACCAAAAAACATAAAATTGGTTTTTTTGTGGCGGTGGTAAATATTATACATTGCAAGTGAGAAGTGAGACATAATGCTCTCAAGATAAATTAATAATTTCTATTATATACTACTTCTACTATATACACTTGACTAAAGCAATCTTTGTACATAGCCAATAAATCTTTTGAAATGGATGTATTGTATTCATACTTTCCATTACTGTATTTGTGAACTATTACTCACATCCAGAAGCCACATTGCAAATTCTGTGTCTTCTTCATGTGGTGCATAAGATACGAATGCATCATACTTAAATCTTGTAGGTTCAATCATGTTCACCCCAGTTTCTGGATCGGTGTCATCAAATCCAGCTTCCTGCTGTAATAATTCTCGAAAACCTTGCAATATGGCTTCTTTTTCTCGAATCTTGCATTTCTTGAAAAATAGTTGTTATTGATATAATCCACATTTTTTAAATTTCCCATTGTTTATTAACATTTTGAATAACTGTCAGTTATCTGCTTTTTTTTCAGAAAACATAAAAAATAGCTCTAGATTTATCATCATTTATACATTATAAGAATAATTCAGCTTACTCTGTGCATGTATATATTGCATGCAATTGCTAGGACAATGAGAAACAACACTCCAGCAACCAATCCACCACTTATCACACCAACGTTGACATCTGGACAATATTTCGCTTCTGTAAGATTCATGATTAAGTCACCTGCTAAGTTCCATGGAGCATAGCATGTCAGTCTCTGCCAAAATAAATAATATAGGTTTTAGGTATGATTTGGGGTTTCAATTTGATTAGTTCTCAGTAGTATGTTGCAAGCCATAGGAACAAGTTTTTTGAGAGAATCTACTGGAAACAAAGTGAAAACCATTTGAAAACCAAGTGAAAAATTTGGATACTGCAAGATAAAATAATAGCAGACAACATTTTGCAATTCGTTTTAAATCAACAAAGTATCACATACCATATTTTTTTTACCATAAGACGATTTTCTGGACTCAATATTTGGACCTGATTTTCAGGGGTCATTTTATTGGTTGACTTGGGCCTGTTTTTTTTTTCTGTGGTTAGCTTTTTTTTTGCATTAGCCTTCTCTAGCTTAATTATCTCTGGGTAGGATATATTTTAAAATGTATTCGATGCTAAACGGTCTGCCAATAGCTACTGGTATTTGACTTTATACTGTCTTTTGACTTCATTCTTTTTAAAAGAATATTGCAACGCTCCAAGCTACCCTTTTAATGCTGAATATGACTTTGTTAGGCAGAATAGTGAATTCCATGGAAATGATTTTACAAGAGATGAAATAAACATGATTTTACTTACAAAATAGCCCTATTAAATTATAAGCGCATATTGGTGCTCTGACAAACGGAAAAACAAAGTAACCAATTTCTGCCCTGACTTGTTGGACGATATTATAGAAAAACCCTGACATTTAGTTCTACAAATTGACCTCGCCTTATAGACCTATTACTTGGAAAATACGGTATTTGTGTCACTGCGAATATGCTGAACCTTTTGCATCCATTCTATCTGATGCCTTATTAAAAATTTCCCCATAAAGACTTTCAGAACAAAAGTTATTTATTGTCCGTGTGCTCCCAATTACCTCTAATTCATGACTTCTCATAACACTGGGATTGTCATGGTTTGCTGCAATCCATGCCACAAACTGTCTTAGTTTGCAGTCACAAACCAGTGGATTTTGATGTAACAGAAATTTCGTTAGCAGCGGGAACAATTGAACATCGTGTTCATTCAATGATCTGTGTAAACAAGACATTCCGGATTATAAAACTTTAATGTGAAAATATAGTATTATACATTGTTTTAAGTTTTTATTTTCCAATACATACGTTAATTTGTTCTTCTGCAGATCAAGATATTTCAAATCTGGGAGATGCCGCTTTATGCCTTCAATACTTGGCAGTGAGCTTATGTTATTGTTCTTTAAAGTCAGATTTTGCACAGTACCAGGTAATCCAACAAGAGGAAAACTGTTCAATGAATTATCTGAAAAAGTTAGCAGTGCTTATTATTTTTTATGTTGAATTGATTAAAGTCATAATCCTTCCAAGGCAAGCCTTCAAAATAAGATGCAATTCATTCAGCTAAAAACTCCTGACAAAATATGAGTGGCATGTAACTTTGTCACTATCTGGAGGCATTTGATATTGAAATGAAAACTGGTTAAGTCAAATGAAACGAACTGCTATTTCTTCGGACAAGTTTAGTTTTCTAGTGACACATGAACTTAGTTTTCCAAAATGCTAATATTTGCTTGCAGTACTGTTTAATTGCGCAATTATGCTGTTGGGCATCATTTGAGATGACATTCAATCAGTCAGCACCCTGAAAGAAAAACTAAAAATAAATGTGTTCAACGAAAATCTAAATATATGAAACATAACTCTCACAATAATAAGGTATAAGACGAATTTTTAGAAAAAAGAATTTGGGCAAAAATCCATAATATTATTCGACTTGAGATTTAATATCCTTTCCTTGAAAGACACTGAAATTGTGTCCAATTACGATAATTGATAAATTTTAGTGTGAAAAAATAGTAGAATAATATAAGCTAATGTCTTACTTGACAAGTTGATGTTTATCAAACCATACAAATGATTCAATCTTATTTTTGTATTTTGCAATCCCAGCCCACTCAAGTTAATTTTCTTCCAATATCCACTTTGTGCTATAGCCGGCAATTGACCCATTATATCTGTGTAGTTTTTGGAGATTTCCTAAAAAATATGTTTGAGTTTATATCCAATGTTATGTCAAATTTATATTAATGGGGCAAATTGAAGTATAAATACAAGGAAGTACCATTGCTTTGCCGTATGAACAATCCAAGTCTGGATATTTTCTGTCCCATTCACAGGTATGCTGAATACATGGTTTTTCATACCTATGAAGAATATATGTATAACTGATTCAGAATAATGTTAGGCAATTATCAACATATTTTAATGTTATCAATAGTTTGGAAATGTACCAGAAATAATTTTTTAAAAATGTGATATCAGTTCCAATCTTATCCATGGGTGCATGACATGTACCATGTTGATTTATTTCTCCATTGTTCTCTAATCTTTCCTGGTGTTCCTTCTCATATAGCCAAACAATGAAGGGCCATAATTCACAGTTGCATATCTGTAACAAAATTATTGTGACTCAATTGTATACGGGAAGATTGTTTGTTCAGATGTAAGCAGATATGAGTGAGCTTCTGAGAAAAAACTCAAAGCCAAGACGAGTGGGGTTAGGGAACTTTTTATTTCGAGGTTCGGTTCAACTGCTGACATAATTTTTTATGAATTTTTTTCATGTCTCTACTTTTAACAATCATCTGGACAACTGACTTCCCAGTTCAGCATTGGCTATAGTGGTACACGGAGGGTTTGAATCACCCTGCAGTGCCAACATAATCATATCCAACTCTTTAACAAATTTCACTTTGCAATATGAGTAACACAGTTTTGTTGAAACAGCGATTGAAACTTGAAATAAACATTCATTCTGGAGCTGTTGTATTATTGTTATATTTTTTAATTAGATAGCGATGGTAAATGATGAAGAATGTTCTTGAATGTGTTTGTAAGAATAAGTGAAATGACATACCAATGGATTTCCAAACAGGTCTACCATCTCTAAGTAGGATAACGATAGTATGTGATTCATTGGCATTGTAAATAGTTTATTGTTCTTCAGGTTTATTTCTCGAACATTTGTTAGATTCTTCAAAGCTTCTCCATCTTTTTCAGAAAGACTTGATATTTTGTTGTTTGCCAAGCTCAGGTATAATATACTTTCTGGTAAACCTCTCGGTATCCAAAATAATCCAATATTTTCAAGTTGAACTCTAAAAGCGAAGTTGTTAACAGTTTTAAATTAATTATTAATTTAGCATACGTCTCCAGTACATGTTGAAATTTAATAGTGTGCCAAATTTTATATCCTTCTTCCAAATCTGATAAGTTTATTATTATCCAAATGTATTTCAGTCAAATTATCAGAACTTACCTTGTTAAGGATTTTTGTCCATAAAATACATAATCAGTTCCATTCATAGGCAATGCATTATTGACAATTATAGCCTTCTTCAAATTATTTTCGATTCTTGGGATTGTCTCCATTTTGCTTGATGTACAATTCAGAACTGCCACATTATAGAAGCAACCAAGCTTTTGAAATATTATCAAAGTGCTCATAATTTTCTCCAAAATCATATCATTCAGACCTGCAATAGTATTTATGGTAATACAAATAAGAACATTTTGCACAATCTCAATGTTTATTTCAAACACAATTATTGTAGCTTTTTTGTAAAAAAGTTTGAAAGCCATATTAAGTATTTATACTAATCACCACATATCTCAATGATATTAATATCCTTGAGCGCAAAAAATGCTATGGTGAAATTTTCTAAAACAAGCTTATATGATTATATTTTTCCTATTGATATGCAAATTGTAAGTCAATTTTTGCCATACGATTGGCTTCAAAATGAGTAATAATAGTAGAAAATAATACCTGGCATTCCAGTTTCACATTCCACATATTTAGATATGTCAGATGATATTGTTTTACTGATATTGGGTTTACTTATCCAGACTAAAAATTTTATCATATTTGAATTACAAGCCCATGGGTTATCAAGAATGTTAAACACTTTGCAGTTGGCACAGAATTCATAGTTCGAATGTGGTCCAATCTCTGATATTTGATTTCCTTGCACATCGAAATGTAAAATACCATGCGAAATACCTGTGGGAATGTTCATCAACCTGAATTGTGTAATAGTTCTCATTAATATGGGGTAATTTGAGATTGAAATTGGTATTCAGATTAATATTAGTAATAAATGTTTCCCAGAGCATAGACTTTCTTGTTTACTTCCGTAACATTGGCTAATCAACAAGATGCAAAAACTGACGTAACAATAGACGTTTTAGCAGCCGCTCAGACACATTTGTCACTCAGACAGATATTTAGGCATGGTTGTAAACATTTTTGCATGCTATTTATTAGATTCTAGTTGTGTTTTGTGAATTATGAATCAAATAACTCAATGATAATTTTATTTTCTTATGAGTTTTAGTTTAATTACAGCAATCAAAAATGCTGGTTCAAAACATATAAACCATTTTTCTGAAGTCTAAAGGTCGGGGAAAAAGCGTTTGGTTATAGTAAACCCATGGAATGATTTTAAAACGTGATTTTGAATCGATAGCAGTAGAATTTTCAAGTAATACAAATTGAAAAAAAAATTGAGAATTGAATTAGAAATTCATGAATTCAGGAAATAAGTTTCAACAGATTGAGCAGAGTAGTTGGATTTCAACCTTCAAGTATCAGATCTATTTTTTTTTTTAAATGTTTGAATAATTGATGCATTATGACAAATTTACAAAACTTTCAATTTAGTTTTCATTTCTTTTGTTTTTCATTACACTTTTATAGGTTTGATAAGGTATACTTTAACTTCAATCTGAACTAATTGTGATCAAATATAAAAAATACACCTGTTGTTGGATAGGTTGAGAGTAGTTAAGTTTTTAAGTTCAATAAATGCTTCAGTGTGACAAGAGAGAATTTGATTGTGTGGAAGCTGGATATCTTCTAAACTTTTTGGAAGTCCAACGGATATAAATTTCAGCAAGTTTCTCTTTAATCCAATATACTTGAGATTTGTCAAGTCCTTCACTGCCATTGGATCTATTACTTTGATCTTATTGTCTTCTAAATGAAGACTTAAAACTGATGTTGGTATGCCCATAGGTATTGCTACCAGATTGCAGTACGTTATCGCAAGATGTTGTAGTATGTTTTCTTTTCGAAATTTTCAAAATGCCTCCCAAAAATTGATGCAATTGGTGCACTTTGGAGTCTTAGATTTAAAAGTGTGGAAGCTGGCAGTTTAAGTAAAAAAGCTCCATTCATTATAGGCTGATTTCGAAATATGATCCAAGTTAAACTTTGCGGGGAATTAGCAAATACTCTATCTGCAAGAGTTGTAATGTTATTATCTGAAAATTGCAATATCTTCAAAGATTCAGGCCATATAATTGTGGTTCTGCCATCGTCATCCCTGTCTTCGCCAAGACTTGACAAATCTGCGCTTTTGAATGACAATCTTGCCAGTGTTGGGGGTAGGCATGGAGGAATTGTTCTCATTTCTTCCTGTCTTAGCAGATACAGGGCAGTAATATTCTGAAAATAATCAACAAAATATCTTATTCTGAAACATAAAAAGTGGCCCACGATAAAAGCGTAGGAAGTTGAAATTGAAATCAAATAAATTGATCATCCTAATTTGCCAAATTAGGATGATCAATTTATTTGATTTCAATTTTGGTTAGCCAAGGATCAATATGGAGTGTGAGCTTTTCAGTTGTTTAATGATTGGAAGATAGATGGGGAATATTGGGGTACAGATTGTACTATGCTCATCTTCTTAAATTGTTGGGGTTGTTGTGGAAATATGCTTTTCTATGCTACCAATGTACAAATTCATTCACTGAAATGGAAGAAGGCACTGGAAATCTTAATTTTTTTTTCATATTTTTTATGAGTCCCAGGGGTCATTATATTTCGTCCCTAAATTTGATAGTTTTTTGCTTACTGTCCAACCATGGTATTTCTTCAGGCTAGTTCTTTATTGTTTCGGCAAACCAGAATTTTGATTTCTGCTATAATGTTATTGACTCTTTAATTTGAAGCTTTTGATTTATTTAACAGCTTTTAGAAACAATAGTTTATTAGGCTTCCCGCTGCTTGTCAGCAGGAAACCTATTGTATTCCTGTGTTTTATTATTATTATTATTTATTTATTATTATTATTTTTTCAAATTGGTCCTACAAACTTGAAATTCACCTCAAATGTGCAGAAGTTCTCAGCTAGCAATAAAATGCAAATTTTTTTTTTACGCGGGAAGCCTGTTAAAGCTGCACGCAGCTCTAGTTTATATTGTAGATATTTTTTTGTGTAAATCCAGATAATCACTCACCTTTATATGCTGCATCCCACATTCATATATGAAAGTTCCATCTGGTTTCAGTTCTTTGCTTGAAAATATATTTTTTGTTTTTGTTTTACCAAGAGTTATCTTCATAATGTTGTCTGAAATTATGATGAATGTAAACTAGAGTGATAGAAAAATATATTAGAGCTGTCATTATTTATTTGACTTCAAGCAACTAGAATTTTATATTACAATACCAAGTCTTTAGATATTATCAGAAATAGATTTTTCCTTTTGTAATGTTTTCTTCCTCCATAATTCTAACCTGGCATATATTCCCAAGAAAATGACTAATCTCGGTGGCAAACACTGTAATATTCTTCATTGTATTTAATGGTGCTTTTTCGTAATATTCCAATGTCCGCGGGGTCTTGGAAAGTGGAGTCTGAATGAGAAAAAAGATCACAGATTTCTAGTATTTCAGCTATTTTTATATTATCTTATTGTGACAACTTGAGTATCACTGAAAATAATAACATATTATACCTTTCCTCGATTTAACATGGTAATATAAAATAAGTACCGACAGTTAAATAACTCTATTATCAGAAAAATAATTTATATTATAGACTTGACACTTGACAGTATACCTTTTATAGTTATTCTGGTCATGTTTTCCAGTGGCAATTTTTGTAGATCATTGGTGGTGATGTTCTTACATGATATTACAATTCCTCCCTCAATTTTTGAATCATCTGTACAGCTGTTAATATATTATATTTGAATATTCAAACACTGTTTCATGTTATGTAAGTTACAGTTGGGATAATGATTTTGGCAATTGGATTGCTTTAAGCATTTGTACCACTCATTAGCATACTATGTTGGGTCTAATCTTGTAGAAGATGACTATGTGTGAGTGCAGGGGCGCAGCCAGAATTTTCTAACGGGGTTACGGTGAAATTGCAACAGTGCACCAAAAGTGCAATTCACGACGACGTAAGGCGTTTAATAAACTGAAAAGTATGCGTCCTTCACAGCGAAATTCCACAGTTACGTCTAGACCGCCTCTCTTTGCCTGATGGTGTTTGGTGAATATTTTGCAAGTCCTATTTCAAACATCGACCATTTATCTGTAGTCAGCGGGTACCCGCATTTAAAAATAAAACATTAAAAATCGCGAAAACTAATTTTGGAGAGAACTTATAACTAGCGTCATAACGGTTTATACTTACAAAAACACGCTCGCATGTAGCGCCGAGCAAATTCGTGAAATGTGAAACTATTACTTGGAATTTATTGTCAATGAAGTTGATTTTTTATTGCCATCCAATGATTATTTACATGCGCCGTGATTAGTGGCGGGCAAAATCGTAATCGAGGTATTCGAGTTATTCGAATTCGAAACGAACATCGAATAATGAGTATTGTCATTTTAAACAACATTAATTGGGATGTCGGCCGCCGAAACGATCGCCGTGACAATACATATTTTTTTCGGATTTTACTATACTGAAAACTCCGTTTGTGGCGTTTTTTATTTCATAATTTTGTCATAATCGAAGGCTGCAGTAAATTTTTTGTCATCGCGATCGTTTCGGCGGCCGACACTCCAATTAATGTTGTTACACTATATTAAACAACTTTTTTTTAACCACTAGCAAATATTAATTTTCACTCAACGGCGGATATCGTAGTTTGGTTTTTATATTTCGGACAAAATTGTGAGTTCGGCGAAAATGTTAAAGACAACTATTAAGGAGTGCATTCACAACACAAATTAAACACAAATCTCCTTTTGAGCGCTCACATCGGCGGTTGACCTCGTTTCATGGAGAGAAAGGAAAATACGCCTCACCGAATTGCAATCAACAATTACACATTCTCATTTATCATTATCAGCGCCAACTAAAAAAGATAACATATCGTAAGGACGATAAAATTCTGGCGGTGCTAACTGCGCTACATTGATAACACACAGAATAATATTGTTTTGACCGCAAAACCACGATGCGCGACAGTAAAACGTCGCTGTTGCTCTTTTGTAGAAAAAAATTCAGCTCAAAATATTTTTCTCAAACGGGGGGTTACGACCCATACAACCCCCCCGGCTGTCTGCGCCCCTGTGTGAGTGTATTACTGGACTCCTCGCTATTGTGAAGTGATGGTTTCCGAACTTCTCTCTGCCGAATTCTCAAATTCCAAGCATGTGTACCCCAAACTTTGTGCTGTTATCTTATATCCAATCTTGCCTTATAACAAGACTGGACAAGTCCCGATAGTTAGCCATAGAACTAAGCCCTTTAATCAATTTTTATTCCTTCTGATATTGTAAATTGCTGAAAATATCATGGTTCTCCAGTGGCAAGGTGTGAGAAAGATGAACAATAACTAATACAATCAGCATTGGTAGTATAATTCGTATGTTACAAAAGTTACCCGCAACGTTTGATCAAAGGACATTCATTGTAGACCAGTAGTTCAAAAGAATTCGTAAGTGTAGTCCATGTCACCATAAAGCTCATGATGTTTTCACAGCATATCTTCATTTTCTATATCCAAATTATGATTGCATTATGTACAATAAATAATACCCCATGACCATGGGTGGTGCTAATGATGACTGCTTAGAAATAATTCAAATCAGTCAGTCTCTCTGGCTCAGGGATGGGTAAATTATGGCCCTGGGCCGGATCCGGCTCACCGCTGTGTTCAAACTGGCCCACTCGTGCCTGCTAAAATTATGTCCATAGTGTTTATGGATATAAATTTTCGTTGCAAATATTGATGGGAATAAGAAATCGTTGGCTAAAATAAATACTGTAACTGAACTGCCCACATATTATTCACAACCGAATATATTCTGCAAAACGAGCCTCATATACCTCAAAGTCATCCATCCAAATTATTTATGTGATTGTAAAAACTCTAGCGTCTCTGCCCAGAATAGCGTCTCTACTTGTGTTAAGCCTACAAATGACGTTTTTTCAGAGATCTACTCCCAAAAACCTTTTTCGTGTAGCTGTGAATGCTTCAAGAGTTTTTTCCCTCTTGTCCCGTACATCAATTATTGCCCTACATCAGTGAAACGAGCAGCAGACGAATGTTATTGACGCTATTTATTTATAAGTAAACTGTTTTTTATTCATAGTGTTATATTGAGATTTAAATCCTCTGGCCAAATAACCTAGTCTATTTTTTTGGCCTACTTAAGAAAGTAACTCCTGCTCTAAGTCCACTAAATGCTGATTGCGAATATAAGTGTGGCAAAATTTTATATACATTTCACAAAATATACTAAATACTAAACTGAAATTCGACTTGAGCTAATTATCCCCTTCAACATTAAATTATGTATTTAGTGAAGATTTATTAAATCATAGAAAGTATCTTCTGAAACTATTCATCTCGTATTTCGCGATCACTACACATGCGTAAGCGTCTTTCACGTGTTGTAACAATTCCAGGAAGTAATAATCTACGCACATCCATCTGCTAAACCTTGGCCAGACTGAATAATAGGTCTAAGTACAATCCCTATTTTTTGTATGATGAATTTCCAAACTGCATGTTGTAATCAAATCTGTTCACTGTGAAGCTGGGTCTCTTATCTGCCTTCTGTTTCAATGAGTTTCTTAATTAAGTACAACTTTAAAACTACTGAAGTGTCAACACGCATCTCACACTACTATTGCAAAATGTGCGTGATTTCTCTCTATAGTTTGCATGGTTTATTTGTAAAAAAAAAAAGTTCTACTCTATATTATCTCACCCTACAATATTCATTTTCCTTAGATTTCTCATAGGAATTACCGACCGTACTTAGCATCTGTCATAGGAATTACTTAGCATCTTACATATCACATAGTCATCGCGAAGTTTGTTGTTTCCACAAGTAGTGGTACTGACATGACTAATATACAGAACGAAAACATGGGATGTGTGATATGAATTACCAATTGTCTGACTACTTTCATTTTGAAACTTGAATGTGAGAGGATTCCAAACCATGAAGTTGTCAGCTTATTAGCCAAGTTTTAATATTCAACAAGAAATTTATTTAGGTGTTAAAATTTTGCATAGTTAAAAACTTCATATTTCTCAATTACTTCTGTTTCGTCTGCGCTGAAGTTTACAATATGTGAAGTTGGCCTCATAGTGGACATAGCAAAATGTATTCAATTCTTGGGTATTCAAGACATTTTGGTCTTAACCATCCACAAAATGGTATCCGTTGTGGTAGCAAAACGTGAATGAATATGATTTAATATACGAATATTTTATCATACTGTGACAAAACGTGTATACTTATATTGATATTTAAAAGTCAGAGAAGTTAGCATTTTTGTAATGTTTTTGGGCATTGCTTGGGCACTATTAAATCGAATGTTATTTAGGTTCGGGACTCACATGCTCACATGTTACATAACCTTTTCATTGTTTCAGCCATGCGCTGCAGGGTGTGTATACTATTGGTTGACAAAAATTAAGATTTGTTTATGTGCTTTAAATATGTCATATAACGCTATATAATTTATCCGCATGATAAATATAAGGTAAATTTTAGTTTTTCGTGAAAATATTACTATAAACAACGATGAGATATGTTATAGCGGATTTAATTGCAAAATGATTTTCCGGCAAAGGATAGGATTTACATATTTATCCTGGGGGAGAGGAAAAGCGATAAGACGCTTTATCAATATGGCGAACGCACGGCCTCTCGTCCGGTTACCAGTTCATGTCAGGTATGGGATTAGTTAGCCAGTTATTCGTTCTCGGAAGCATGGACTTGATATTTGAACTAGTTTGATATGTTAAAATAAGAAATTTCTAATCACATTATCATATTAACTTTACCTCATGAGCAACCAAAATCATAAGCGTATACTTGTTGTACGGCATAACAAAATTTTTTGCTGTTTCCGATTTGTTGGCATCTATTTGTTGAATATTGAGCATTTGTGATCAGCAATTTATTTCTTACATATTCTTGTAAATTTCTTCAAACATGTCTCAGCACAATTTATTAAAGTACCAATACATAGACATTTAACAAATAAATTGAAGTTACACACAATACCAATGGCAAAGATTAGAGAAAAAACATATATTCCGAATGTATAGTTACTTTCACATAATACGATTATTAAGATTCAGTAAAATATGAACTAAATAATGTCCATTCTATATAAAAAAGTAACTGAAATGTATAAATAAATCTAAAAATCTTGAACGAGGTGGGTAAAATATCCATACATTACATAAATCACTGCACAGCATACAATAGTCAATATAGCTTTGGTTTTATTGTCTATCAAATAAAAATAATTAAAAATGAACAATATTGCCAACGAATTTGGGAAAGGTGTCAAATGTTGTGCCTCTCCAAACTTTTGTTTAGAAACTGATATGTTCTGGATGATTTTTGAACTCTTGCTATCGACAAAGGTTGTCAAAATATTTTCCTGTTTTTATGCATTTCAATGTTTCGGCCGTAAGTTACCGAGTGCTTTGTGTTTGTGTTCAAAGATTTAATTATTCTCTTTGAATAAAATTTTCAGTTTATAGCAGTCAAGTCCACCTTGAATTTTTTATTTCCTTGGAAAATAATGACGCTTTGGATGTGCGCAGGTAGCTTCAATGTCAGACTGTCTTCTTCATCAATTGTTGAAGCATTATTATTGCTGTTTTCTTCCATCATTTTGGGTCGCTGCTGCAGAGTTGTGCTTAAGCTTGGCGATGGGATTGGCAATATTTTGTTGTCAGTGGCGTAATTGATAACGCTTCTTGTTGGAGACAATTGTTCCTGGGCGCTGCCGTCTGATGGTCGCCGATTGTCATTGCTGTATTGTCGTGCCATTTCCAAACACGATCCTTGTCCGCTGCTAGCATTGCTGTTTGGGCTGTGTTCAAACTTCAATATTGATCTAGGATCGTCTTCGCCAGAGTATAATCGCAAACTATGTTGCATACCTGTTCAACACGAGATAATTATGTATTTAGTGTTGGTTTTGCTTGAATCATCTGCCGTTCATAATAAGAAAGTGTCATATGTCATATTCGTTTGACTAGATCAGTTTGGCGTCGACATAAATGGTATAAGAAATCGTGTATGCCTAATGGGAAAGATGCCGAATTCAGGGCCTTGTTCGCAGCGAAAGCGAAATTTGGTTCATAATGTATATCATACCATATTTGCATTTTAACGTTGCTGTAAGATTTAAAATTATTGCAATTTCCAAACTGATTCACCGCGCACTGGGGACATGTGTATACCACGATGTCGAATCAGAGGCAAATTATACCAAGTAAACAAATAAATGCCAATACCTTCTCTGTCGTCGTCTTCTTCCATACTAGGTAGATGTGCACATCAAATAACATCTTGAATGTTTCCCGAAGTTTGTTTATGCCAACTGGGTTGAAACTGAAGCGTAGTTCGGAGCTGTCAGCTATAAAAAAAAATGCATAATTGAACAAATGCGTGTCACGTTTGCGTGATGTGCACCATCCGCTTTGCTGTATTGACACTAGAGGCAGTAGAGGTCCTCCTGTGATTTATATTAGTAGGTATGTGAAGCTAAGAAATCCATACTGAATTTTTTGGCATTTTATTTTTGAATTTACTGGTACAATGAACATCCCGCATTTTCATACATGAGCGGAATGCTTGTTTTAATAATAGCAGATTGTCGCTTTTCTTTGATTTAGTAATTAGTAACATTGGGAGGAATCCAACTTCTTATAATAATAATTTGTCTCACAGCCTTTAAAATTGGGATTTCGAACTGCGTGGTGTCTCCTTTGTATCTGTGCTGTCGAGGCTATTAGCTGAATACTCAACAAACTGCATTTTGAGGCAAAGTACACTTATATTGCCCCCCCCCCCCCCCCTTTCATTGTTTTGATATTCACATATGTTTTCTAATGTAGCTTACATGATTGCAATGGTCGTTTGTATAGCAAGCCGTTGGATGGTATATGCTGAAAATATTTCTTGAAAACTTTGACAATGCATCTTTCGTCGAATAGTGCTGACATTTTGCGTGTAATTTGCCTGTAATATAAGAATTTAATATCGTTAATTGTAAGTTTATATAGCTGGCATCTTATATGGTACTCACATCTCGACTTAGAGACAGTTTTCACTTTGATCAAATTCAAACCCATCTTGAATATTGCTTTGTGTAAAATTATTTAAGACATTTTTAGAAAATCGGATAAATGCAATATTACATACTGAAATTAATGTGCGTAAAAGTGTCGTAAATGTATGTTTTGATTGTGATTAGTTTGTGAAATGATAGGCATGAAATTCTTGCTTATCGTTGTTAGTTTATAAATATTAAATTGAATTTGATTTATTTGTTCCGAACATTCAGAATATCGACAGAAATCACTGAATTTACCCGTTCTCCCTTGTAAATTCGAGATACTCTTGCTTCGTAATTTCATCAAAACCTATTCGAAATTGTGACACAAGAAGTGAATGATGTTCCTCCATGCTTGTGATCTGAAATTGAAAAATAAAGTTTATTTTAAAAGAAACGTTTTAGGAGACTCCATTGCCAGATTTATTGAGAAGGTTTGTCAAAATTATATGAGAAACTTCCTGAATATGACAAAAATGCATTATAAATAGCGGACGATCGATCGGAAGAATATCTTTCCACTGGCTGGCTACAAATGTGATATAGTTACTATTTTAATACAATTTGAAATTGAGTGCAACATGTGAACTGGCTATCCTGAACCGGAAAAGTCCTGTTTATTCCAGAATGTGGTAGCCCCATCCTTGCCAATTTTGTCCCGAGTCCTGTTCTCCGTGGTGAAAGTCTGAAATACTTCTTAACAGCTTTTGTATTTTCGTTTCCGTGCTCCCTCATTTATTCAGTCCCAACCAAGATAATATGGCTTCTCATTTGTAAATCTAGTATATCTATTGTGTTGTCAATTTATGGTATAATCCTGTTTATTACTTACATGAAAACTCAAACAGGTGTGGTAAAATATTGCACGAAACAGTCCTTTCGCAGAATTTAGATTAAACAATGAGCTTGGCCACGACTCGCTTCCAAGGTCGTTATTCTCTGGTGAAGATTCTTGATCGATTCCTAAAATAATCAAGAACGTTTTTATTTATAGAAATGTTGTGGTAGCAGCAACGACTTTGATTGCCGTATATATATATATATATATATACTTTTGAGCTTGAGGTATAGGGTTACCAAGCAACTCGATCAATTGATAGTATTTTAAGAGCGAGAAGTATTCATGTCAAAATTAAAATATCCGCTACGGCGAAGTTGTTGCTGTCGGTAAATGAACAAACCGGAAGCTAAGTTTATAATACTTTTACAAAGCAACTAATTCAGATGCGGTATCAGTTTGTAAGACGCAGAACACCGGAAAACATATAATATTATATCGGAACTAGTTTTATCAGTGGTTTCCTCATTAATTTCCTGCAGCGAAATTGTGTCATATAGCTTGTCATATTTTGATAGGCTGTCATTTTCGCTTTTTCCATTATCAGACCTTTAGTTCTGATTACGTGAACACCACGGACTTTATTGCTCATATATACAAGGCTTAAACTTACCACTACGCCTTATGGTCGATATTTGAGAATTTATTGCGTCCGACCGCGCCTTTAGGGCTTCTCGGAATTCAGCAAACGTTGGTGAATATTTATCAAAAAATGTTATATCAGATCTTCCAGAAACGTGCCTCAGATGACGTTGAAGGCCAGATGCAATTTGCATCAAGGTGTC